CCTGTAACAACTATATCAGTAGCCCTTTCTTGAGGTCAAACCCGGGTACTAATGATCAACACACACTTTTGTGATGACAGTGCGTTTTATTCCGCGTTTTTATAAAACTGTTTCCCAGAAAAGTATGAAAGGGCGATGTTGCTTGTGCATTGTTGAATAAACATTCCACACTTGTGTTCTTCAGATTTTAAATGCCCCGTGTATTACTGGCGACTACAACGATAGCCTAACACGACATATTACAGCACTACAATTATCACATGCACAGGTAACTCACAGGAGAAATTGAATTAAGGTCTTGCATACGTCCATGTATGTAGAAAATGTATAAGGAAGTACTCACCTCGTACGTTTATATTATATCATAATACAATATATTGGAAAGTTATTGTAAAAAGCCGATCGTGATTTGTATAATGCAAAATTTATTCGAATTCCATAGTGGCTGTGTAACAGTATAAAAATTATCAGTTTATGTCTTATAACTAAGGTCGTCGCCTCTTGTTTTCTCTTAAGATACAAGCCTCGAAGTATCTAATAGCAATCACGAGTATGATATATTAGATATTGACTGCCAGGGTGTGGGAACATTGGCAACGTATGGCTTTATTGTTTAATCGTCCGGCTATTAGAACCGTAACTGTATTGATCCCTCTTATATTGTAATAGGTTAGAGAGGCATATTGATCCAATCTGTCACCCTAAAATTAATTCAATATTTGTTTTCAATGCATAATACAAGTTTATGATCCCTTTTAGACTCTGTCAGCAACAACTTGCTTTTTTCCGTATCATTACCTTGTGCTGCATACTACATTAACGGTTAGTGTGAAGGTTTACCTGAATTGCTCAGCTACCTGTAACATGCATGGTTTTCGTCCGATATGTATTTTAAATGTAAACACCAATCAATCCTATCGCCCACAATCTATACAGGGAAAATTGTTTGCAGAAATATGTTTTTTTCGTCTGTACCGTATTGCGTTATTGTGGTATTGATAATTGAACAATTCTACCCTAGGGCAGTGATACAGACTAAAACCTACGAGTTTACATATTTTACAGGTAAATTGATCAAATTGGTGTAGGATATTTCTAAAAGAAATATAACAAATAAGAGTCTTTATTCTGCAGTATTGAATTTCAAATTTGTATTGAAAGCTCTATTTACTTGCATGTTTTGTACAATCCTATTTTGCTATTGCCTCTTTCAATCACTGGAGAATTATCATCTTCACATTGTAGATTATAATGAACTTATTTGTTTGGCAATATTGAATTTATTTTTGTATTGGAAGCTCTATTCACTTCCGTGTTTTGTATAATCATTTGAACAAAGTACTCACTGGATTATCACCATTGTCATCATCATGTGTATTATGTTTCATTTAAGATTATGACTTTTCAGTCGAATTTACCATTTTAGTAACTTTTCAGCAGAGTGTGTAAATAAGGCGTCATGATTCTACAGGAGGATGGCATTGATAGCAAGAAAATACCATCATGTCAACAAATCATAATCCAAACTCCAATTTAATAAATTTAGAACACAATATGAACAAAAGAAAAAATTACACAGATAATCTTGAAAAGACACTAGGAGAATACGACCAGCTGTTCCGGGAGAGTAAGCATTACCTGTTTCATCGACGGCATCCACCATACAAATATTTATCAATATGTGTAAGTTATGTCACGTTTCGAATGACAACAATGTATACGACAAGGGAACCAACAGACAAACTACTGAGCACCAAACACGTCTAGCCCCACATCACACAAAGAAATAGAATGTTTCACAATGAGATCACTATAACTTCCCCACAATTTTCACCAATCTGTGTCTGTGGGAACCTTGTTTTACGGGTTTGTCCATCAGTCGATGATAACGGTAACAAGCCCTTAAATATGGAACCAGCTGCGAAACATCATAGACTGGGGTTGCAGTCTTGTTGCTATTCAGAAATAGAAAATTTACAGTAAGGGAAATTGAAATTATCACGCTTACCATACATAATGATGGTAAACTGTCCATGATGGTTTCTAATCAGAAATCAAATCAATCTTAAAGTTAAAGTTACAGTCATGATTCAGACAATGGTCACACTGTTATTAAGGAAATCATTGTCATTCCGTTCATGTGAATAAAAATAATGTATTTCTGAAGTTGTTTAAACCTTTACGTGAATTAGAGTAGATATAACAGTCGTACTTGATAGCATGCGTGCTGATAAACATATTTTTATTTGACCTTGTAGCTTTATTTTCCAACCATGACGAGATATTGTTAACTGATTACACTAATGACCACTCCCTAGTTCATTGTCACTATAATCATGGTAACTCAACAATTTGACAACAGTATATCGTAACTGCATCACTTGTCAACTGATATACTGTATACCCATACATAGATACCCTTCACAACACAAGTTATCATCGCCTACCGAACTTCAGTTGCTGACACAAACACAACAAAATGCACTTCAATTATTCCAGCACTTTTTATTTTTATACTTTTCTATACATTGATACAATTCCTTTATAAAACATCCTTGATTTTATTTTAAGAAATTGTACATTTGTTCAATGATTAAAGGTGACAGAGTAAGTTGAAAAGGTGTAGCTATCAAAGTGGGATCAACGATACCCCTCATCTTTATACAAAATTTTCTTCGGTACATCACATGTAAGTAAGTACCTATATTTTAGAATATATCTTGCTTATAGACGTGCATAGGCATCATTGTATAGAAAATAGAAAATGTAACATATCTGCACCAATACCACGTGACCGTGGTCAACAACAAGAAAATATAAACAAACATTGGACGATGACAGTGTAAAGATGGTCTCTGTCATCTAATGTTTATATCCTTTTGTATATAAATTAAAAATAAATCGGTAAACACTCAAAGGAATCACTTAACTGGTTCATCTTTCCATACCATACTTACGCTCCACGATAGCTATATTTGGAAGCTTTGTGAGAGGCTACGAATGGTACAAACGACAAGACATGATCTGATAGGCGTCTTATTTGTAAAACAGGTGCAAAGTGACGGCATTTGTGTATATATCACCAAACAGTTACATAACTCACTTAATTCATATCATAACAAATATCCGTGTATATGTAGAGGTATTTTTACCCTGTGAAAACATTTGTCACCTGTTAATGATAATAATATTTTCATCGGTCTCTCGATTTCTTAACAAATATTCTTTCATGATCATTTCAATTAATTTCATGGCAAGTTTAATGCTTTTATGTCGGTGGATTAAACAAAATGTGAGAAAGTCGAGTATAATGAATATATGACGATTTGTCAGGCTGCTATATTATTGAACCGATAACAGTCGGTTTGACAGATTTTATATGTTTGATACCCATCTGTAGTTATTCATATATCTACACTTTCTGAGGTAGGATGGCCTCTCATGGACTTTTCAGAAACACTCTGAAATACCCATCTTACCCAATTATTCAAAATTAGATATGTCTTAAAATACACACCAAGACATCCTAATAAATGTACATGTAAACAAGCATTGTAATGAATCAATTAACAAAGTCAGAAAGGCATTGTCGTGAGGATAATATGATATCACCAATTAAAGTCACCTTTTAAACAGATACGACACCCGGCTTGATTGGTGCTTCAAGTTTGTAAACCGTACGTGACTAATAAGTTCCTCGATAAATACCAAAAATAAATATCAAACATTTACATGGGTGTTGTAAAATGATCGAATTTATCACCTTTTATAGCCTCACTATATATCATGTTGTATTTAAGTTTACGCAATCACTTGACACCTGATGGATTTACAGTTGGTAGATTTGTAAAGAATAAAATACATTTACACACCTGTACGTTTATCGAATATATGTGCATTGCATTGCTAGTCTTCAAAACGGAAAGGGAAGAATTGAGATAGTAGGTCAAGTCTATCGTTACAAACTGATACAAACAAATACTTGGTTACTTGGTGTCAAGGGAGAATAATCTTTAGAAAATATTGTTTGGCATTTTAATCTTGCACAACCTTAATACATGATGCCCTGCCATATGAGAGATCTACACTGTATCTTTAAGATAATGTGTGATATTTCATAGAAACAGAATTATGCGCTAACTGGACTTGTCATTATCTCATAACTTTGTCAAACATTCCATAATTTGACATTAGCAAACATTGAATATGTTACCGTGGATCACGGGTGTGTCTTTTGTACGATCCTTATTAGCCAGAGATAATTGTGTATATAGATTACACATCTAGCTTTGTAGACTTATTAAGATAGATTTGTGTATATTCATTGATAATATTCTGTCTTAACACTGTAATATTTATCTTTACTGGTTTCAATTAAACACTCGTTAAACAAAAGAAAATACTCGTACAATACTTCGTGGCTATTCAATTTATCATCAGGTTCGGGTCGTAGTCTGTTCACCTGAATGTTCGCTGTTATCTACCTAATCCAGACTGTTATGTTTAACTTTATCTAATCTTTGGTCCAATTTGGTCGATTGCATTCCATCTAGGGTATGTAGGACAATTGATCTACCTCCAATTGATCTATTCTCCATACGAATATTAAGTCACCTGCAGTCATGAACTATGATAAAAAATGCAAACGTATAGGTCATTTTGGTTGAACGCCACGATCCAGGTATCTTTCAGTAGTTAAATTGGGCCGTCGGAGATAATTTTTAAATTCTTCAACGAGAAATATATTGTGTTTTCAGACTGCATACAAATCCCGCCAGTAATAAAATGCATGCGTGCCTATTATTTTCTTTATATATGGGTAGCAGTGTTTGCAAGCAGATTACCACTATTTACCACGTGTTTTCGAAAAGACGATAAAATGCACAAACATATAGGGGATTATAACTAATACATAATTATAATGTTAAATGTGGATAGCTATAATTTTGGCTTGTTAAATGTCGAAAATAAATCTACCGTTAACGATAGAAATAGCGTGATCAGACACATATCACACTTAGACATGTTGACACGGAATCAGTCCTGGACGTAATGGGTACTTCTTCCTCATCACGTGGTGTGTTACTTGGAATGTCACATGGTGTATCATGTGGTATACCACCTGGAGTGTCGCGCTGTGTGTCAAGTAGAGTTTGAGGACTGCCCATAGAGGTAGATGTATTGTCTGTTATTGTCGTAGATTCCTCAGATATAACATCTTGGGCGACGCCACTCGCCTACAGATATTTAAAATAATATATGCTGATATAAATTTCAAAAACCGAGACTACTCAAAGGTTGTTATTGTCGGTTCATGATCTGATTGTCCAGGTCTAAAAATAATAGCGACTTACATCGGATGTAGTTTAAATTGCTGAAGACATGTATAAAAATTAATCGTTGAAGTTATTGAAAACTGTTGACATACATTATCCTTCATTTGTTTCTCCCTTGAAAACTACAGTATAAATTAATATTTAGCGTTCAGGAATATTGAATTTATTAATTTATCAGGCAATTCTCATGATGATTTTTAAAATACGAAATCGATATTGACCAGAGTTAGCTGTATGTCTTACCCATAGGTAGAAGGTGCCTGCTCCAGCACTAGCTCCAATAGCCGTATCTTTGTCGTACTTTTGGATTGTCTGTAGCACTTTTTTGGCCAATGGAATCTTGACTTTAGTAACATCAAACATTCGTATTCTGACACTCAAACTGTCACGGCCTGTTTTCCTCATTATAGTTTGTAGTTTTTCCCAATCCTATATCAGAACGAAATATTTAATATTTGCAAAACAAATACACAGAAACAGATTATGTTATAAAACAATACCTACCTAAGATTAACTTAAAAGCAAAACGTGTTTCTAGATATACTTTGAATTGTTAGAAACACTATTCCTAAAGCTTCAACGCCGCAAATTGTTTCTTATAAATAGCTCCAACTATATATGTTTGTCATAATTATTTCAAACAGCGTTTTATAAAGAAAAATCAGGAAATTGAACTGTATGAAAATTACAAGTTTATATATTTTGTTTTTTCTATTTGCTCGCGAGAATAGCATACGTACAGCCACTGAAGCGTCGTCTTCGCCCAACAACAGGTAGGTCGCTCGCATGATGTCCACCATAACAGGCACGGGGTCCTGGTAACGGTGTAATTCAGATATTGTTCGTGAACTTAATGCCAGTACATCATGGGAGTGTTTCTTTAAAGTCTTAAGGTTTTTTACCATCTTAGTTCCCTGACGTACCAAGGGTTTCATTTCGTCAGTCTTGGGAAGAATTTTGGAGTTATCTAAAGCTTTCTCTAATATAGGTAGGCTCCTGCGACTTAGCCCTTCCTTGAAATCTGTGAAGTGAGGACAAAACGAAATCGAGCGCTTCATTCTTCAGACAATAAATTACTGCAGCAATTCTTCGTTAATAAGATACCTGCATACTATATTTACATAACATTTCTTTCCGTCAAATCTGATTTCTCTTTGTAGCCTCCTGGGATTCACAAGTTTGGTCCTTATCATTACTGAAAGTCCTAAAAGTGCCAGCTGTATGATGCAGTTTAATTCATTATTTGACTCGACTTTGTAAAATTTTGCACTAGCGTGTTTATGTACAGATTTTAGGTTATTAAGAAACACAAACGATGATAAAAAGAACCATAACTGTGCCTACATTTTTGTCGCTTTTGATCATTATTATACAAGGTGAATTATAATATATATATAATGTTATCTTACCTTGTCTGATGTCTATACGATTACTTGTTTACACAAATTCTAGATATACCAATAACTTCTATGTAAACTACTAGAGAGAAAGTACTTTAGCACGTTGTTGTGTTTGATGAATTACGCTTTAATATACATTTGGATGGCATTTTCTAATTATTCTACAACAAGTTTCATTAAGAACAAAATCAGCGTAAACACATTTTTAACAGGCCATTTTCGGCTATTCTTTTCATTCTTATACCATGATATTTTTCAGGAATATTATTCACAGTTTTCATACAGAAACGTTAGTGTGATAAACACAATGGAATATTTGTAGATATATATCAAGGGTAATAATAAACATAGCATTTACGTCTGACCTCCCTATCTCATGTGTGTACCGGGAGTTCTCTGATGTCTGTTACTATCTGCCTCCATTTAGGTGTGAATGTTTAAAAGGGATTTGCTCTATTTACATTATACAATATACTTGTTTGAGTGAGGATTTATCAGCTTGCCGCCTGCCGTTTTCTTGTTTTGATTTTGATACATTGAAAAGAAATAGGTCCCGAGAATACCTTTCATTGTCTTGAGGTAACACACTCGGGTTTTAGCCTTCTCCACTTCTCCATCGTCAGGCAGGTTTAGCACTTTGAACTTGTCTATTGCGTCTTGAAGATCGTCGGGATTGTCTCCCTTTATCAGAGCATCGAACAAACGTGTGCGTGCATTCTTCTCTTCCGCATTCTTAACATAAATGTATGTATTAAGGAAATGAGAATCACATCAGAACCACTTAATTTTTTTTTGTAAGTTCAATTAACAAAAATATAGAAGGTTATGTTTCTGATTCCGAGTATCAACCAAACAAGATATAGGTATCATATAAATACTCTATAATTCTATATAGGTTGTACCTGATAACCTGCGGTAGAGAGTTTTTGATATCTAGATTTGCCAAAGCCTCGTTTCCCAAGTCATAATTCCCACACATAGTACCAACAATTTAATACTTAACACAGGTTATTAGATAATTCAAACTGTCCATATTCATTAAGTTTTTCAATTACTTTGTCTCACCTTTTCTTCATTTCATATTTTAACATTGAATGAAGTGTATTTTTATACCTTTTGGTCGAACGCTTTAATTATCCAACGAACTTTTCTTTCATACTACGAATCTTGACGATTTTTGACAGTTTCACGACTTTTCTCCTGTGTAACTGGAGAACACTGGTATTTTTGTACAACTTATATAATTTTAACACACAGTTTGATAAAAAAATCTTATCAACACCATTATATATCATCAAGTTTCAATTTCAATTCATGCATGTAAATGACCGGGAAAACTATAATGTAAAGCTTCATGCATATTGCATTTTTAACTCCGCTTTTTTATTTCTATCCTGCTCAGGTGTTATATATCCAGGAGTCATAAAACGACGAAACAGCTGCATGCTGACACATGTCCTATTTATAACTATCATACGATTTCCATGTTTATCATTAAATGTACATACGCAATATTCATACGTATAATGTAATATGACGTAGAGTTATTAGATGACAACAATGTCACATTCACAGGTCACATTGTGATTTCACATTAGAGACCATTGATTTGGAGGAAGAATGGCTCAATAATAATTAATGAAATCCAGCTTTCTGTAATATCTACCAAATTATATTCTAATTTTCATATCAATATCATGAAAAATATAATAAATTCGTTTCTATTGTATATGCAAGTTATCAAACTCGTGACCAATTTGTCATTTTAGATCGTCTTATTCTGAAGACTTGTTTAGTTAACCGCATATGAAGTAGAAGGTCAAGTGAGAGTCTACATTGGTATATGTATTCTTTCGTTCTTTCTGTATAATCTCGTTAATAATGTTAAACAAGACATCTATGTGACCTGTAACTAGATACTATTCCTGTTGGTATACAACCTGTATCTACACTATTATTAACTAACCCAGTGATATTGTTTTACTATGAAATCAAACATTCTTTTAATATGATAAGTCACATATTGACGACGACACCAACCATGTCAATCTTAGTCCAAACAATCCAAGTAGGCAATGTCATGTTCTCAAAAGAGAACAATGTAACCTACAATAGAATCAACCAACGAGCATCATCTTTCAGTGGAAGACAAGTTTCCACGACAGAAAAATGAATGAAATATGTAGATATTAATACATAGAAACACACTGACTCACCTCATATGTTCGCGGCTTCTTTTTAGAGTTGAATTCGTCCGTAGTAAGCAGGTAGTTACAGACAACACTGTACTTGTTTCGTTTGCCCTTAGTGAGTAATTTGAGACAGAAATCACCTCTATGTGGTGTTGTTACCTTGACTGTCAGACTATCAAACTGTACTCGTTGGTTAACACATCCCTTGAGAGCATTCTGTGGTGACGCCGCACTACTTAACAATGCTTTAACACTCACATTTTGAGGCACTGTAAACATCATCTCTATTTCCTTCTTTTCTATAACCTTTATCACACCTTCTTTGTGGGATTCGGCTATTAGCTTAGCATCAAGTGTCGCTCTACATGGACCGAATCCTATTTCAGACACTTCCGGGAAAGGCTCACAGAGCTGTTTGGCAGTTTTACATATGATTTTGAATGAACATAGCCATTCGAATTTTTCATCAAGAATCTGTAATTTATATACACCGGTAAATGGAAAACGCATGCTAAAACGTACTTTGTCGCCCTCGTTAATGATAACACAATATCGCGGGAGCTGGACACCAGGAGGAAGTTTCTGTTTTGACTGACGTTCGTTATAGAGAAGGTCATGTATCAAAGCTACAGGACCAGCACCATACTTTAGCACTACTTCACTCACCCCATTGTCTGTTGTCAAAACACCTTCAGGGGCACTCGATAATTGCAGATTGAGTTCGAAAAACTTTGGACGTAAATACGGAACTTTGATAAACTTTGCCTTTGTGAACTTTTTTGCAGACATCTGCCATTTTTCCTCAGCTGGCAGACATCTGTAGATGAACTCTTCAGGACTGGTGAGGAAGTAGTATTCCTTTACTGTGGATATGATCTTTTCCTTGAGAATCCTTTCCTGGTTCTTGTAATCATCGCCTGCGGCACAATTAAACAAAGTTTTATATACCATTGCAGGGGGATAAGATAAAATTTGATTTATACTTCAAGTTATAAAAATACAAACCAGTTCAGTTTGGAGACGACAGGTACAATTTGAATTGGACCAGAAACAAACGTTGATTAACAATTATGAATAAGATGCATGTTAGATATATGTAAAGGTTGTAAATATGATAGACCATACAAATATCGCCAGCTCTATTTTATTCCTGTATCTTAAGTGATCCATGGTTTTCATGGTATATATTTAAACTAACCTTAAACCGTAGGAACCAGAAACACAACTGTGTTGACCAAAGTGAATGAAGAAACATATAACTCTTTACATAATTAAACAGGTTATCATACTTGTTGGATCAGCAAAAGGTACTACTCCTGTGCTTTTGCCAGCAATAGACCGGAAGGCCCATAGTAGGAACACTATCCTCCAACCACCTGCTACATATACCGCATTCCACACATTCCTTAGTCTGTCTACATTATCGTCACCTACTTCGTATGCTGAGGACTTGGCTACCCCGGGTATCATCACACACGGCACCTTCGCTAGCCTGAAAGGTATATGTTACAAATGCATGGTAATTCAACGATTAACACAAATAACCACAATTTGGAGAAGGGGATAAATCCGCAAAACAGTTGTATGTAATGAGGACGAGTGATCCTGTAAAATTATATAATTTGGAATATCACTAGAACAATACAAGTATAAAGTATATAGCTGAAAATTAACTGATAAATTAATGCTGTGATTTCAGTATATGTGTGATAATTATTCATTGAAATCCATTATTATCACGGACATGAGTAGCTTTATAAGTCGTACATTGTTATCCTTCTACTCTGCGATAACTTAAGGAATAAACAAACAACATATTGGAAAGGAAGATATCTCAATTACAAGGTAACTTGATGAATAAACAAAATGCGAAAGGAAGATATCTCCATTATTACAAATCAGTCGATGAAATATGCGTCAATTGAATAAGGTAATGAACACCAGATCACTACATACCGACACATTACTGTAAAGATCTCAGCATAGGACATTTTCCCAAGAGCCATCCGTCGGAGGTAACCAGTGGGTGACTCTGGGTCCGCGTCAGCAGGATACTCCTGTACGGTGAAAGGTTGTGTGCCGACCCACATGAATATGGCCCTCACCTTGAGGATGTCCATATTAAAATGACCTGTTAACTCGTCCACCAGCTCTTCCATGGTGTTACACGAGTCTGCCGTCACCTAGGACGTTAAAAATGAAAATGAAATAAACAAAAACGTTTACACCATTTCTGTTTAAAACTTTTGAATAAAATAAAACTGTTGAATAACAACAATTAAAATCAATGGAAGTTAAATGCAAGAGATATTTTTCAATTTTCTCCCTTATACATTTTTAATGAAAACGATTCTGTAAGGTAAAAGTAAGATGTAAGTAATGTCGACCTCAGGAGTTCCTTATCATTTTTGTGTACAGTTGAGCGTATCGCGTTAGGACGGGGTTTACAAAAAAAGTGCATCCTACACATCTGTCACACAAGGTAGCAGAGTATTCTACACATCTGTCACACAAGGTAACAGAGTATCCTACACATCTGTCACACAAGGTAACACAGTATCCTACACATCTGTCACACAAGGTAACACAGTATCCTACACATCTGTCACACAAAGTAACAGAGTATCCTACACATCTGTCACACAAGGTAAAGGAGTATCCTACACATCTGTCACACAAGGTAACAGAGCATCTTACATCTGTCACACAAGGTAAAGGAATATCCTACACATCTGTCACACAAGGTAAAGGAGTATCCTACACATCTGTCACACAAGGTAAAGGAGTATCCTACACATCTGTCACACAAGGTAAAGGAGTATCCTACACATCTGTCACACAAGGTAAAGGAGTATCCTACACATCTGTCACACAAGGTAAAGGAGTATCACACATCTGTCACACAAGGTAAAGGAGTATCCTACACATCTGTCACACAAGGTAACACAGTATCCTACACATCTGTCACACAAGGTAAAGGAGTATCCTACACATCTGTCACACAAGGTAACAGGGTATCCTACACATCTGTCACACAAGGTAACACAGTATCCTACACATCTGTCACACATGGTAACAGAGTATCCTACACATCTGTCACACAAGGTAAAGGAGTATCCTACACATCTGTCACACAAGGTAGCACAGTATCCTACACATCTGTCACACAAGGTAAAGGAGTATCCTACACATCTGTCACACAAGGTAACACAGTATCCTACACATCTGTCACACAAGGTAAAGGAGTATCCTACACATCTGTCACACAAGGTAAAGGAGTATCCTACACATCTGTCACACAAGGTAAAGGAGTATCCTACACATCTGTCACACAAGGTAAAGGAGTATCCTACACATCTGTCACACAAGGTAAAGGAGTATCCTACACATCTGTCACACAAGGTAACACAGTATCCTACACATCTGTCACACAAGGTAAAGGAGTATCCTACACATCTGTCACACAAGGTAACAGGGTATCCTACACATCTGTCACACAAGGTAACAGAGTATCCTACACATCTGTCACACAGGGTAACAGAGTATCCTACACATCTGTCACACAAGGTAAAGGAGTATCCTACACATCTGTCACACAAGGTAGCACAGTATCCTACACATCTGTCACACAAGGTAAAGGAGTATCCTACACATCTGTCACACAAGGTAACACAGTATCCTACACATCTGTCACACAAGGTAAAGGAGTATCCTACACATCTGTCACACAAGGTAGCACAGTATCCTACACATCTGTCACACAAGGAAAAGGAGTATCCTACACATCTGTCACACAAGGTAACAGAGTATCCTACACATCTGTCACACAAGGTAAAGGAGTATCCTACACATCTGTCACACAAGGTAACACAGTATCCTACACATCTATCACACAAGGTAAAGGAGTATCCTACACATCTGTCACACAAGGTAACACAGTATCCTACACATCTGTCCCACAAGGTAACACAGTATCCTACACATCTGTCACACAAGGTAACATAATATCCTACACATCTGTCACACAAGGTAACATAGTATCCTACACATCTGTCACACAAGATAACATAGTATCCTACACATCTGTCACACAAGGTAACACAGTATCCTACACATCTGTCACACAAGGTAAAGGAGTATCCTACACATCTGTCACACAAGATAACATAATATCCTACACCTCTGTCACACAAGGTAAAGGAGTATCCTACACATCTGTCACACAAGGTAAAGGAGTATCCTACACATCTGTCACACAAGGTAGCACAGTATCCTACACATCTGTCACACAAGGTAAAGGAGTATCCTACACATCTGTTACACAAGGTAAAGGAGTATCCTACACATCTGTCACACAAGGTAACACAGTATCCTACACATCTGTCACACAAGGTAAAGGAGTATCCTACACATCTGTCACACAAGGTAAAGGAGTATCCTACACATCTGTCACACAAGGTAACACAGTATCCTACACATCTGTCACACAAGGTAAAGGAGTATCCTACACATCTGTCACACAAGGTAGCACAGTATCCTACACATCTGTCACACAAGGTAAAGGAGTATCCTACACATCTGTCACACAAGGTAACAGAGTATCCTACACATCTGTCACACAAGGTAAAGGAGTATCCTACACATCTGTCACACAAGGTAACACAGTATCCTACACATCTATCACACAAGGTAAAGGAGTATCCTACACATCTGTCACACAAGGTAACACAGTATCCTACACATCTGTCCCACAAGGTAACACAGTATCCTACACATCTGTCACACAAGGTAACATAATATCCTACACATCTGTCACACAAGGTAACATAATATCCTACACATCTGTCACACAAGATAACATAGTATCCTACACATCTGTCACACAAGGTAACACAGTATCCTACACATCTGTCACACAAGGTAAAGGAGTATCCTACACATCTGTCACACAAGATAACATAATATCCTACACATCTGTCACACAAGGTAACACAGTATCCTAAACATCTGTCACACAAGGTAACAGAGTATCCTACACATCTGTCACACAAGGTAACAGAGTATCCTGCACATCTGTCACACAAGGTAACAGAGTATCCTACACATCCAGAGAGATGAAACTTCGATTCAAGCTATTTAATAATCATCATGTCAGTGTATAGTATAGTAACCTTTATAGCCTGTATACATAACAGAATACGCATTGAGCCAACTGTCATAATCATTTGAAGCATTCTGAATAAATTCCCTAAAAACGTTATCAAGAATGGTGAACTTGTGACACATTTCAACATATAGATAAATATATATATATACTACCTCTTTAGCGACTGTGTTGGGCATTGTGAAGTCTGTTACACTGAGGATACCGGGGAGGTTGTTGGGAGGTGGCCCCGGTGTGGGATAGCCAGGTTCCAGTGTATACAGGGAACGTTTCTACAACAAACAAAACAAAACACGACATAATAACCCTCTAAGTTTGAATACAGCTCATCTGTTTGTCATGACGTTTTAAAGATTGTATAAAAGACACACAAGTAAATAGCATTTATCATACAAATTTAGAGTTAGATGCAGTTGAGCAAACCAACTCATTGATAATAATGACCATACTGGATGAAGAGACATTATTATCATATCATTATGTAATAGCTGCGTCACATCAAAACAGTTAAATGCATCACACATAACAGTAATAACTTAATACACTTCACGATACACTGATAACCAAATACATTACACCACACAGTGATAACCAACCTGGAATAATGTACCATCTTACCCAGAAATATGTTTGTTAAATGCAAGGAACACATAGCTGATGGAATATAAATATTGTTAGTTTTCTAAAATTTGGAAATTTTCCACATACATTATTTTTAACATTCCGTGGGGGCAGTGCCGCGGTTTCCTTTGTGCCCAGGGTTTCTGAAGACGGCTCCTGGTTTTCCTCTGGAGTCCTGGTAGTCAGCCATCCACCCGGCTGTGTTTTATATGTACTTTTTGTCGGTCTACCTCCCATGGTATTGATATATGTTATCTAGCTGTTAGGAACAAATAAATTTTGTATATGGCAAACAATAGGAAATTTCTAGCTTTACAATCTGATAACCATTCAAAGTATACATATCAAAATATCGTTACTCTGTTAGAATAATTGATTTGGTTTTTATAATATATCAAAATAGATGTGTAACAGAATTCACGATTTTACGAAATGATAAAAATAATGTATCGTTTCATCTATGTACTGGTTTTTTTCTAAAGCATCAGTTGTAACTTTTCATAATATACAAAACATAAAGTTACCTGGTTAGGTAAAGCTGGCCGACATATATCCATGTTTATATCCAACAGAATAGGTAAGACAAAATTAGAACAGACATTGCCTTATAAAGATCACGTTATCAATATTGAACCGTTATATCCTCTCTCAAATTACACATATAGACGTCATCGCAGAGGATAAAATCTGCAATGGATATGAAACGTCGGTACAACATGTCGGTAAAGCTAGTACACCAGTGTGTGTCAGGTCGAATTCACTGTGTTTTCGGATTATAAGGAGACTAACAATTAAATCTCTGATCGTTTATAAAATAATTGTTTTTTTTTTCAAATTTAAATTCATATACACAGTCATGATACTTTTTGTATTTCATTCTCATCACTTTGTATCGATATTCAGTTTTTTTCATTTCCAACCTGTCATAATCCACACGATGCTTATTTTTGTTTGTAGCTTTGAGTTTGATCTTAATCTCACTTAATTTTGCCACGCATGGTGGTAATCTCGTGTAGAAATGTATCAGGTGATTAGGTATACATTAACTTACCTTTATAATAAGTTCTATTGTGATCACTTTTCATCGATAATCAGCATTACCCTACATAGGTCTGTAAGTAAATCTATATACCTGGGTATATATATTTATACTAAGTCCGTTATAACTCGTCTAAATTCTAGACCAAATAGTATTATAGTTGTGCTGTCCCTCGGTCGTTATTTTGAATATGCTAAGGTGTTACTAACCGTATAATTTTTTTATCGTTAAACAGGATGTCAGCTGTTATCAAAATGTCGAGTGCAAATTATTTCTTGCTTTACACGAAAATGATATTGTATTGATTTAGACTCCAAAATGCATATTTATTTTATCTTTTGTTCCTACATATACGTTGCCTTAATTTTACGTAGATTTGGAGTTTGCATGGTCCTTTTTTAATATATCGGTATTGTTTTGCTGTTGTTTTTTTAATTATTATTATCTTATTATTTTATCAGAAGTGCCATTTTTAGAAAAATGTCAGGTATCGTATAGGCGGTTATCTTGGCGGGATGATATTTTCGTGGTATATAAACGTGACCACGAAAAGTTTATACGTGAAAAAATAATTTGTTCTATTACACTCAGATTGCGAAAGTTTAATACTTAGTTGTTTAATATGGTCGTTTTAAGAAAAAATCATGAAAAATTGATCTATGAAAATACCAGTATATATTGAGGTGTACATGGGATTAGATAATTAAGTGATAAAAATGCAAATATCGATCGAGACCTGAGCAGCGTAATCCTGTAGTGTTCAGAAATCTAATTCGATACTATGGTGTTCATTATGGGGGGAAATGAAATTAATTCCATTTATGACTTTTGTTTACTAAGTTAGGTAAATGGTACAGGGTCATATAGATGTATCGAGAAAGGCAAATCGCTACTCACACATGACCGTGTTAAAATACTCATCAAATCTCCATCATGGTACAACTTTAAAATGTTGCGACATTTTATTTCGGAAAAAGGACGTTTACTGAAGATGAAGGAAATTTTGTTGTAGATTTACAAAAAGACACAAGTTCATGATACGTACGAGGAACAGTGAATAAATGGCAATTATTAGTTATGCCCTTATTAGGAGTACGCTACCTATGAAGTTGGTCAACAATTCTCCATGCAATAAATGTTTACTGTAGGGTCAACTATTAAAACAACACTAGTACACATTATTCTCTATATCAAACATATGCTAAAGCTGTCAGTCTGGGATTATCTATGGACATATAAAAGGTCAGTACAGTTTTTCTCTCTTTTAGTTGAAAAATTTTAACAGATCATTGGCATTTAAAAAGGATAGACAATTGTTTAAAAAAAAGCTGTGAATTGAAAATAAGTCGTATAAAAAATCATATCAAAATTAGATATACACTTTCTGCGCTATTACACGCCTATTTTTAACGGAGAAATATTCATGGTCCTGAATATTTTGATACATTTTATGTTTTTAAGTCTAATATCAAAAGAACGGAGCATCAAACAGAACCTATAACTCTGAATCAAGACACAAACTTAGAGCCCATATCACGAAAGAAGGCCTAAGATAACTGTTTGGCTGACGCCGGATTTAAGACCTGATGAAGTTATTCTCAACCCTGAAGGAGTGACATCACAGATTTTTCTACATTGCTGTTTTAAATTCGTCTTTTTTAGTCATCAAAAAATGACCAGCTTTACATAAATCTGATAAACGAGGTCGATTTTCTTACAGTGACTAGATAATCTTCGATATTCTAGGGTGTATTTCCGTATCAGAATCAACATCAACATGACAGATTAACTCGTAACACAGGATTTCATAAGTTGGTAAGAACTGTATGGTGAAACATTCGTTTTTGTTATCCTCGAAATATATACACACAAACAACTAAAACAGTCAGATGTCTTTCATGGTAGGTTTATTATTACGATTTTACAAATACTCGCTGTAGATACTAGAAATGTACTTGCAGTCATCATTGCATGAACGTCAACATTTCTTTAGGACCTTTACTTCTTTTCTTCTTTTTTAAACGTTGTTCTTACTGTTCACATACATATTTGTCGCAACATATGAACATAACCCACCACTTCCCTTTCCACCTCAGACAATCAGCGTCCGTCAAAACAAAGGTTGCTGTGGGTTCTGTTTATCTGTCTAGACAACGTTGTTCTACAATAGTATTACATGCACTTGCAGCTTTTAAATTAGGGAGTTAGTACTGCTTAGTCTGTTTCTTAAAAGTAAAATATGAATAAGATTTCATACTGTCTTTCAGTAGTCAGGAAGTTTCAGTTCACCCATAATGAAAATTTTCATCAGTGGTCCAATCATCTGTGGACAGTCTTCAAATGACTGAAGTTGTTGTGAGGACGTGCAAATCCAATCAAATTTAATGAGATTCAAATCACTTCCTAAAGGAATTTATTCAAATTATATAAATTTCCATAAAGTAAACAACACAAAAAAAAATGAATAGTCTTCTGACAGAAGTAAAGTATATTTCTATCATTCTAGAGTGTCGCTTACCTCAATTACGTCATTAACTTTTAACCAAGTTGTTAAAAGTTTCAAAGAGATTAATACAACTCAGTATTACGGTTGACTGGCAATGCTACATTGTTAATCTACCAGCACAGTTGGTACTCCAATCAGCTGCTGATACTCTCCATAACTTCTATTATAATAACGGTAGCCTTGACCTGTTTTACATGGATAATGGCTGTTTTATATTGTACACCACCATATGTAATACGTAAACTTAGTTGAAATGAATATTGCAAAGCATTGGCTAAGTAAAAAGCAGTAACAAATTTAGAACTCTAAAAAGATAAAAATAGAACCCGAAACCTCTTTCTGTTAAATTAGTGTTTATGCAAGTGATAGTTTGCTAAACACAGATTAATGATAGCAAAACAGATCCCCGTCAATAATTGAACCTTTATCTCAAGAAACCATTACAACTGAATTGACGAATACGTAGACGCATACAAAGGGAGATAAATCTAATTGCATGTTTCGTAAGGTTGAGTAATAGTTCCAGTGTGGATGTCTCGTCTATTTCTGTTAACGTGTATTACATATGACCTTAAGTTCCATCCCTGTATTTGTTAATAAAGGGTATCGTCAATAGACAAGGCACAACCATAGCCGTGTCATCGATTCAGAGTAAGAATGACGGTTTGCATGCAAATCGGTAATTTATTTTGACTTCGAAGATAAATACATCAGGAACCCACGATTAACCAATTTATTATTATATAACTTGCCGTGTTTCTCTCTACAGAGATCAAGGTGATTAAATGATACGCAAATTAAAATCGTCTAGCACGGTTCAGTTTGATACCAGATAAAAATGTTTGATACTAATGTTACCGTTGTCTATGGGACAAGAAGAGAGCTGATGGTACGTAGAATTCTGTTCCAGTTCGATATCCATCAGCTTGAGGATAAGACAGTGAACCAAATTGTTAGATTTTTTAAAGCCACACTGATGACAATGCCGTGAATAAGTATTGTTAACAGTGTGAATATACAACTCCTTTTAAAATAACAATCATTTTCTTATAAGAAAGAAGATATCACCGAGGTAAATATGTGTGCATTTCATCTGTTGTGAATGTATATAGACAATAAATCGATGGATGACTTGGTGAGTTCAGTCTTTTTTGGGCGACAAAGTTCGATAATGTGATTCTTGGGCAAAAATGTATATTTATACTACATAAATAGAGAAAAATGTATATAACTTTTTGAATCAATGCAATTGATGCTCATAATGTTAAAAATGTCATTCTTCATAAATATTCTGTATGTATAAACAAATGGATATTGAACATATCTTTATATACGTGATAAAAGTGTACGAGTTGTAAACTTATAGCATCTTAATTTAAAAGCCCCAAAAGCTTCTTAACTAAGATGAAGACATCCATAACCCTTGACAATAAAAGTTGAAGATAAATCCTCTGTACAGAATGGCTTGATCAGTTACTCATGGAAACCACATCGTTGGCAATGTTGGTTGCCTGAAAAAAGAATAAGTGATAGGTTATATATCACAGGTTCAATTATTGATTTAGGTTACGGTGGTATAGTAGTATCAATTATCTTATAGCATTATACTTATATACTGCAAGATCCGGAAGGAAAGTTGTTCATTATACGTACCTTCAATCAATTCAATATAGATACTGGGAACTGGTAAATATGCTTAATATTGACGATGATTTATATATTGATAGCTTAAGATGGTAACTATTTTTGAAAAAAAAATCATATCACTTTAAGAACGTTTATAACATATAAAAATAAACTTTATCTATATCACAATTTCGAAACTAGTTATAAAGAAATATTAATCATTCTACAGGATGGGAGCGCAAGGAGGATCTTTATGTGAGAGGAAATCAGAGTACAGGGATAAACGTGGTCTCCAATACCTATTCAAGTCCGTTCCGGGAATCAAACCCCGGACGACTAGGTGGAATGCGAGTGCGTTATTACTGCGCAGTTCGACCACACTTGTTGCATTCTCTTCGTTGCTCGATATAGATGGAGCTTCTTTTTCTTGCTATGACTAAGCTTGTACAAAATTCACACAAGTGAATGGCACCTTGCGATACGAAGATTTATTAAAAGACGCCCAAGTGAATAACATCAAGTGGAGTCAAACGATAACTTAAACCGCATCATGTATCTGTTTCTCCATCTAAGACTCGTCAGTCGTTTTAAATATCTATTTCTTTAAATCTAGGGGGCGACGAGGGTAAATCAAGATTGCTCGAATGCTTTTCTTTGCTCTCAACTACTTCAGAGTTTCGAAGTTTATATCGTTTTCCCAGAACGTTTCACCTCACCTATTATAACTAGTGATATATCAAATCTTGTTTCAATACTAACCCAGATATAAAACGTCCCTGCTCCAGCACTTGCGTCTGTGACTTCATATCTGTCATACGGTTCTAGTATCGCAAGAACTCTTTTCGCCGTCCTCAGTGGAACAGACAGAGCGTCAAACTTCTTCACCCGACCGATAACACTGCCGGTACCTGTCTTTCTCAACAGGTTCTGGATGTGTATCCAATCCTGTCACAACGTAAGAAGAAAGTTAATATTGTTCATAACAGATTTTATGTTTATATATATACCATTGAGCAAAGGGTGTGAAATAATGAGATTGATCCGAACTTATTTTACTCTCTTTTTTCTTTTATGGATAGCTTATTACTCATATACCTACCAATTAGTGATAAGATAATATCAAACACTTCAGTCATTTCGATCCTGATGTTCAATTCACATTGTAATTTTCACATGACAGATATGTTAATGTCTACAGATAAGGCGTCCAATAACTTGTCTGCAAACATTATTACATTTCTTGTATAAAAAAGAACTCGACTTGCTTGATAACGAAAGAATCCCAAATTATACATTATGCAATTAAAAAAAAACCGAAATACTAGCAAAGCATGCTTCGATGTTACGATAATTTAGATTGCTTAATAATGACAAGGATATGGACATCCCCTGTATATATTGGATCCCTAAACTTCACAAGAATCTTTATACACAATGCTTTATTGATGACTCGTCTAGCTGTTCAACCAAGCCTTTGTCAATACCACTAACCATCGTTCTAAGTACTAGCAAATCTTGGTTACAATGTTACTGTGATAGTGTTTACTCAAGAAGTGAAATTAATAGTATTTGGATTCTGAAGAACTCCCAAGAGTTTCATGTATAGACATATCAAGAAGATGATATGTGTAAAACAATTTGTTAGTGAATTCGAATACATGAGATTAATCTATAGCTGTATTATACATGGATATAAATGAATACGTGTGTATGTAAGTTAGTAAACGTAGATATTAACGAAATACCCTTGACCTTCTTAAAACCTTTAAGCCGTACCACACGAAAACAAAATAATTTTGTATTAAAACAGTAGACACTCGCTCATACCAAACGTATGCCTCAGTTAAAAATATCTATCTTAAAGGAATATATATATAGATATTATAGATTATGAAAATCGGACAAAACCGTCAACCATACCAATAAATAGAAGCTTTAATGTCTTAATGAAGCAGGATAGTGATGTAAGGAAAACTCTGCAGACTGTTGTTTTAGATCACATACAGTAAGAGATTACAGATCAAACAAAAAATATCGTTTGTTTGTAAGAAATGTTATAACGCTTTAGCGGTATGGGAGTTTAATATATAGAGATATTTAATAGTGACTTCAGTAATAACAAATATATTTCACAAGTGTGTATGGTATCTTAGTATCTTTCACGAGTTTGCAGCACGAGTGAAAGATGCAAAAATATTAGACACACAAGTGAAATATGTTTGTTATTACTGAAGACACTATTGAATATTCTAATTTATTACATTTTTACAAGCAAAAAAGACCAATCACTGGCATATTTAGAAGAGATATAAAAAGAGGTAAGCTGACTAGGCTTTTCGCGGATACTGCTCGTCTTCATTACCTCGCAGTACATGCCAAAATATAGTCCTTTTATGAATCATTGAAAATATATATACATAAGTGAATTTCAATGTCATTTTATTTCTATATTCACATAGAAAACGTTACCTCTTGAAATGTTTAACGTGTTAGCTCCACATTCGAGACGTTTGGTTGGGGATAGGGTTCGATGTCTGATAATTTGTGTTACATTGTGTGCTGTAAATAAATGTTTTTCATGTAACTGAACGTCACCTTCCAAGTAAACAATGCTTTCAGGCCTCTGGTTTTGTGATTTTTTTGTACCGGGCTTTATGATTCGTCAATTTTATAAGATGATTTGTGTTCTCTCTTTTCATTGGTGTAAATCTGCAGAAGCGTTATTTATCACTAGTGAATAATAACAAAAATGAGTTTTTTTTACTATTGAGAGATAACTTTTTCATCAATGCGATATTTCTCTATATTCCACTGGCAAAAAATGTAATAAATGTACTACGTGCAAACATAGTAATAAATATAACGAAGTTAAGATAAACAAAATAATAAGCAATATACGTTATATGCAAAATGATAAAGGGAAATAAACTATACGTAATTTTACCTTTAGAGACTTGGATGGTTTGATCCCCTTTATTTAGTGTAACGATAAATGACTTCAATTTGATACATCAAGAGAAGTGTTAATTGATATTAATCAATACAAATAATGTGTTTAAATCTAGTTGTTTGACCACGCACTTACATACAAAAATAACAGAAACAACTGTGAGTGTGTTACAGTTTTCATTTTCATGAGATGTTAGCGAAGAATAGTACAAAAGATTACTCAAACGAAAAAACACATTTCGATGAAAATTAAGAGCGAGATATGATAAAGTTAAATACTGAATATAACAGCATTATACAACCGTTTCGTCTTTTTAGGACTTATCAGGGACGCTATAGGTTCGAGAACGAGGCAGCAACTTAGGAAAATCAAAATTGGTTAAAAGAAATGTCAAAATCTAAATGGGCCTATGAGCTAACATCTTGAAATTGAAAAAAAAAAGCATAACTAATACTATTGCTTGGTTCCGAAATAACGTTAACATAAATATGTTTATATTTTGATCCGTGCCGCCAATTAAATCAATTCAAACGTTAATTTTTATTTAAACCTCGGGAACTTGAAATCGCAAAGATTTGTACAAAAAACACAAACGTAACTTTTAATAATAACTTAATAAAATATCGATTTAATTGATGTTTGATGTTGAATACTTACTCCTGTGCTTTTCTCACTTTCTCCTAACAGTAGGAACGTGGCTTTCATGACTTCATGAATAGCGACTGTCGGTTCCTTGTACCGATGTATCTCGGAGATCGTCGACTGGGCCATTTCCATCACTTGTGATGAGTGTTTTCGCATTCTCTGAAGTGCACTGTACTTGGCTTCTGCCTCTCTCACCTGATCCTGAAGTTCCGGGTACGTCTTGCTATCCTCAATGGCTCTCTCTAATTGATCAATATTTCTGCTGTCTACTGCGGCTGTTAAGGCTGTTAAAACGTAATGTTTAAGTCCTTACAAATACACTTAGCATCACTGCTTTTAATACCACACAGTAGTTTATACAAACCAGACATAACGCGGTATTGTTTGAAAACGTTTATTGAAATGATTGGCTATTGGAACGCTTAGAGATATATCACTGGCTAATTAATTTATGTTAATTGGGTAGGATAACACGAACACATATTAGCTAACACACTTATACAGTTGCAATCTAACAATATAAACACATGATTAAATTTAGGTAACATTTGTAACGATGAGTAAGTGGTAGATACCTTATAGTTAATTAAGTGCATATTTACCTGCTTTCAAACTAGCTAATTCTTTCGCTCTTTTTTCTTCTTTGGTGAGTGGTTTTGCCATGTCTTTCATCTTCTTTATGTTTTCCTTCCTCTTTCGGTCATCCTCTTCGTTTTCAGATGCGCTGTCCTTTCCTTTACCCTTATTTACAACTTTTTCCAGACCAAGACTCTTTAACACCTTTTTGTCCATTTTGCTGAACACTGTTTCCTAATTGTAAACACAATGGTACGAAACATGTTATTTATGTTTTTGTATTCCTGTGTTTCAAGAGCATGCTTATGATGACGATGTTTAATACAAAGATGTTATAAATTACATGAATCAACTGAGATAAAGCACAGCTATATAGACTTATCCATATTTACCTTTTCCTCCTCCTCCCCTGGCTTTTTAATTTTTGGTTCCTTCACTATGAGAAGGTAGTTTAACACGTTGTCAAAGTCGTCCTTAGATCCCACGTCTTTTGCATGTATCATCAATACAAACTCACCCTTGATGTCTATTTTGACCTTAACCACCAGTTGCCCCATATCTGACTTAAATGAGACACAGTCGACGAGATCTTCTTCCCAAATGTCATTGTGAACTAATTCTACCATGAAATCCAAAGGCCTGGAGCGCGCAAAAACAAAATCGACCTCCTGGTTCGTTTGAATAACCTCCATACCCTTCATGTGTGATTTGGCTTCTAATCCGACAGTTTGTTTTAGATCCCCGTATGGTCCAAATCCTAGTTCTGCCTCAACGGGGAATGGGCCCATATTACTGGGCTCAACACAGATCACTTTGAAAGAACAAACCCATGCGCTATATATATCTAGGATCTGAAGTTTGTAAATCCCCCCTGTTGGCAACCTCATTACAAATCTTACAGCATCTCCTTCGACGAACACCGCTGTGTGTCTGTCGACTTTACTATGCTCTCCGCTATTCTCTCGATCATAGAACAAAAGCACCGGAAGTAGCTGTACATACTTTTTAGAATATGTTATCTTGACCTCACATAGCCCTTCCTCGCAAAGAATAATGCCTTCTTGTGATCCAGCTGGCAATCTTAAATCATACTCGAAGAATTTTGGTCGTAACAAAGGTACCGACACAAATTTTGTTTTGGTGAAAGGAGATTTGATCAGCTGCCAATTTGTCTCATCCGGCATGCACCTAAAGATGAACTCTGACGGGTCAGTGAGAAAGTAGTATTCATTGATGGCGTTGAGTATCATTTCCTTTAAAGCGTCACCTTTCAGAGCAATATCTTTCCCTGCAAAATGGAATATTTTGAAGATGAACAAGTTTTAACAATGAAATCACGCCAAGCAAGGAACAATAGCGTACCTAAGGAACTTCTGAAGACACATACGGATAAGAATACATGACATGTTGAATATCTTACATATAAAGTCATCCTGATTTTACCACTTGTTCCATAAGCAGTAGCTCACTTGTGAAACTTCTGGAGAAACCATTCACGATAAAAGACACAAACCCTTATATTATCCTCATCGGTATATTAAAGAAAATGTGATCAGTCGGTCAGTATAGAGTCAAAGAAGCTTAACAACTACATTGTCCGATAGGTGGGAAGGTAACATACGAAAACAGCTCCTAACAATTGTAACAAAGGACTACTTCACTTACCAGGAGTCGAACCTGTACTTCTCCCAGCGATAGCCTTCAGGCCCCACAACGGAAACACTATCCTCCAACCATCCTTGACGTATACAGCATTCCACATGTTCCGGAGGTCATCCACATCTTCGTCACCAATCTCATATACGTTCGACTTCGCAACGCCTGACACCATCACACACGGGATTTTAGCTATCCTATCGAATTCGGAATTTGAATATAGTTTGTACAAAAATTAAAGAATTTAAATCCGTCCTGTAAGGTATTGTGTTGTTTAATGATGAAATGCATTCGAATGGATTTGTTTACATACAAAACACTATTGAATCAAGGGCGATGATACTGAATATGTTTGTTCCGTTGCTATTTACCTTGTTGGTTCCGTTGTTGTGTACCTTGTTCTTATTTGAGGACATGACATTACGTACATGGATTGACCAAGATTTACATGATGGATGTCGTCGATGAACAGAAGACGCTTACTCGTCTGAAACATCTGGTCATATTATCTTTGTACTTTGTTGGGAATTTCCGTGTCAGTTTTTCCTTTGCTCATAGTTTGCCCTAGTTTTATTGAATTTGAGTGTGAATTATAACAGTATTGATATATTTGGGTTTTTTTAGACATGATGTCCGTTGCCGCCTTTATCTAAGGTGAATCTATATAATGCAATTACATACAGAAGTAACTAAACCATTTTCTATACTTTAACACCTGTCACATGTATTTACCTGTATTTTATTGTGCTTATTGACATCAGTCCTTATCCAATCGTATTGTTTTCTTGTTGAATAATGCCATATAAGGTCTTAGCTGTCGACAGCAAATTCCTAAAAGTCTTACCTGCACATAACAGTAAACAACTCGGCGTAGGACAGGTGCCCGAGCGCCAAACGCTTTAAATAGCCCATCGTAGATTTTGGGTTTAACTTCAGAGGGTACTTCATCATGCTGAACGGTTGCAGTCCGATCCAAACAAATATTGCTCGAACTTTTATAATATCGGATGTAAAAGGACTAGTCAACTGGTCCACCAGCTCCTCTAGCATTGGATTTGGTTCAGGTTTTATCTATAAAAGATAGTCGTAATTAAAATTTATCATTACTAATCTAAATGTTATTCAGGAAAGGATTAAGATAAAATAAAGATAAAAGTAATTTAATGAAATATACCGAGTGCGCATGCGCATCAGGTTCCTGCATGTCATCTTCTGTAAAGATATCCAATTTCTTGTTTGGAGGAGGAGCTATTTTCGGGTAGCCGTTTTCTGTAGCGTTTGGTATGATAGGCTGCAAAATATGACTTTTTTAAAAATAACTTTTTATTATTTGATATACGTTAACAATTTATCATCAGTGTTTGTAATAAATTATATCAGAACAAAATGGAGCTCATTATTCCCTAAAAAGGAACCAGTTGCTCTTCGCAGACCTACAGTTATACAGAACATTTAACGTTCCACAACCGATCGAGTCAAGGAACCATGTCACAACTGGAAAGCGTCATCAATTTTACCACATTTGATAATTTCTGTCTAATGTACGAGAATCACCTAAAGAGTACTACATAATTAGTCACACGCTGCTATATTCCTACCAGATGAAAAGGAGGTCTTTACTGTACACGTATCAGGAATAGTCAAAGCAAGACTCTCTACTGTACCGGTAACGGGTAAAGGGTAGTCTGACTCTCTACAGTACCGGTGACGGGTATAGGGTAGTCTGACTCTCTACAGTACCGGTAACGGGTATAGGGTAGTCTGACTCTCTACAGTACCGGTAACGGGTATAGGGTAGTCTGACTCTCTACAGTACCGGTAACGGATATAGGGTAGTCTGACTCTCTACAGTACCGGTAACGGATATAGGGTAGTCTGACTCTCTACTATACCGGTAACGGATATAGGGTAGTCTGACTCTCTACAGTACCGGTAACGGGTATAGGGTATTTTAACTCTCTACTGTACCGGTAACGGGTATAGGGTAGTCTGACTCTCTACAGTACCGGTAACGGGTAAAGGGTAGTCTGACTCTCTACAGTACCGGTAACGGGTATAGGGTAGTCTGACTCTCTACAGTACCGGTAACGGGTAAAGGGTAGTCTGACTCTCTACAGTACCGGTAACGGGTATAGGGTCGTCTGACTCTCTACTGTACCGGTAACGGGTATAGGGTAGTCTGACTCTCTACAGTACCGGTGACGGGTATAGGGTAGTCTGACTCTCTACAGTACCGGTGACGGGTATAGGGTAGTCTGACTCTCTACAGTACCGGTAACGGATATAGGGTAGTCTAACTCTCTACAGTACCGGTAACGGATATAGGGTAGTCTGACTCTCTACTGTACCGGTAACGGATATAGGGTAGTCTGACTCTCTACAGTACCGGTAACGGGTATAGGGTATTTTAACTCTCTACTGTACTAACGGGTATAGGGTAGTCTACAGTACCGGTAACGGGTAAAGGGTAGTCTGACTCTCTACAGTACCGGTAACGGGTATAGGGTAGTCTGACTCTCTACAGTACCGGTAACGGGTAAAGGGTAGTCTGACTCTCTACAGTACCGGTAACGGGTATAGGGTAGTCTGACTCTCTACAGTACCGGTAACGGGTATAGGGTAGTCTGACTCTCTACAGTACCGGTAACGGGTATAGGGTAGTCTGACTCTCTACAGTACCGGTAACGGGTAAAGGGTAGTCTGACTCTCTACAGTACCGGTAACGGGTATAGGGTCGTCTGACTCTTTACTGTACCGGTAACGGGTATAGGGTAGTCTGACTCTCTACAGTACCGGTAACGGGTATATGGTAGTCTGACTCTCTACAGTACCGGTAACGGGTATAGGGTAGTCTGACTCTCTACAGTACCGGTAACGGGTATAGGGTAGTCTGACTCTCTACAGTACCGGTAACGGGTATATGGTAGTCTGACTCTCTACAGTACCGGTAACGGGTGTAGAATAGTCTGACTCTCTTCTTTACAAGAATCATATGTAGACGGAGTCGGACTCTCGACTTTTAACATAACTGGTGATGTATATACGGAATCGGGTTCTGTCGTGTAGCAATGTGACGTAAATACGTTATTTATTTTCTAGCTCGTTATCGGATGCAGACCGAGTCGATGTATACGATCTACCTAAACTGCATATTTAAAGTTTTATTCTTTTTTTCATATAGCACATCTGAAACTGATGAAGACTTTTTTATTACAAATAATTGATTAGATGATGTTTATCATTCAAATTCTTTCTTTTTCAAAGCTTCGATATCTATCGGCTTACTTGTATGTCTCTCACACAGTATTCCAATGTATTTAAATACAAACATGTTCGTCCTTGTAGTTACTGAACGCCTCCACGTCCAACCTCCCGTCGTCTTCTTTTGCCTTCGGAGGACCTTTACCGTTGACAACATCCTCTTTCGCCGGAGCTGCGGACTCCTCACTGGACGAAGCCGATCCCATGATGGCGTTGATCTGACAATACAAAACAGTTATTTGAAAATAATAATGACCATGTATGTAATAAGTATTCATACGTATAGCTGCATCCTAATACACACTATCATTGCAATAAAAATCGGTACAAAACAAATTGGAGGATTGAATCCCTGGAATTCAATATCTATTGATAAAATATATTAGCGTGTGACTACTTGTTGAATACTTAAATCTACATACCACAATTACACTATTGTTACACACTAATGGACCATATAGATCATATAACAGGTTTAATATTCATAACTTTAACACATACATTTTGATGTCTTCGTCGTGTCAAAATATTATGTCTAACTATTAATGTCTAAAGCCTTGTATTACAAATGGTTTATATATAAACCTATTAACATCAATTAAGTCATTTGTTGGTTTGTAATATTTAATGCGAAAAAGTATTGAATTTATGTATCTGAATGACCTGATACATAAACTCAATATAACGTTTTGATTGGACTCTTTGATTTGAATACATCGATTTATTTGGTTGTATATCTGCTCTGTTAAATATTCATTTAACACCAAAGATACGAACTGCGAACATAGGTCAACAACATTGCTTTATTATTCCCGTCGCACGAAAACTGTTTTTAAAAATCGCTTTGATATATGGATATGTATATATGAATGTGACATAGTTTAAAACTGAAGATATTAACGATAGTATGATTGTCACTGAAAGCATAACTCAAATCTTAGCTTTAACTGAACTTTAGTAACATGTGAATGAAGGGAACATTTAGACAGATATCCATAACGATATACCCTAAGAACAAGATAAGATGTTCCGGGAGGATAACTTTTCTCTATATTCAAACAAAACATTAACATATACTTAAATTGATGAAAAGGGCAAAATATTAACAAAAGAAACAGTCGAATGGAAATTCAAAAAAAGATGACACGGAAAATAAAATCAGGTGTTCCAGAAGGGTATGCACATAATGCTTTAACAACGACAACCGCCTTGTAAATCTTTGTCAATCCTAGTCAGAAATGTCGCATTTTTAAATGAGATTAAGGCAGACAACCAGCAGGTATACTTATTGATATAAAAACACATTTAACTTTATATGGCAAAGTATATTGTTTCAAACGACGTAAATACCTTATCTTTGTTCAAAAGCATCAATGAAATTCAAATACACATATTGGTATGCAAGCTTTTTTGTACCTGCAAATGATAGACTATTTATAGGCTTATTTTGATTAATCATATATTGCCGTTTGAAGTGATTACCATCTGGAATTTACAGGCTTTAGATAAACAAATCAGTGGGGGACTTTCTCATAAAACAAAGTGTCATTTCTATCTAAACACAGACTGATACAATTTATACTTACCTAGTAAATAGTTAATAATTCTTCTAAATGCTTACCTTTGATGTCACGTGCTATATAGGAGATGTCCCTCATCGATGTTTTACATTCTTACAAATGTATTTTGTCAGCATGTTTTCAGTATTAAATGTCGCTCTCCGAAATCTGCATGGCCATTTACACTGTGTTGTCCAAGAATCGATTCGTCAACTTGATAAGTTTGTTAGTTACACATAGCAGAGTATTGTAATCTGTCTGCTGAACAGGGGATATGATAAATGTAATTATACATTTGTTCCTAACGAAGTAAGTAATCACAATAAGTCCACGTTTGTTTACGGTGTGTATTTCAAATAATTGTAAACTGCGTAAACCTCCACGGCAATAACAACAGCAATTACCGTTTTAAATGTCCTCTACTTTTAAACGAGAAAAGTAAATATTTCCTGTTCATTGATCAGAAAATCAGTTTAGCTGTTGTTGTACTAAGTACAATGACAAGTCCTGATTTAAGGCTAGTATAGGATTTACTGGCTAATCAACAACCAAAGAATCGCTACATAATAAACAGCGTTGGTAGACCTTTGTTAAGCCACTTATAAGCCACTGCCTGGCTGTAAGACAGGTTAGTCTTCCATGTGTTACGATTGTATATGTATTTATCCATACTGTATCCAAATGAAAAGACACACATGTAGAACAAGGTGTTCTAAAGATAATTGATGTTTGTTTGACCAACTCTGGAATTGCTTTAAAGAAATACGTGAAATGATTTAGAAGTATTGTATACTGTTATCATCACCATAAGTATCATTGTCCCGTATAAAAGTTACAGGGCCACAATTCTGTTTAAAATATGTCTACCAAACAGCTTACTGTCCCCTGGTACTATATAACCATTAAAGACATGTCTTCGAAAGAGTCATTTGGTATTACAAGTCAATCGTTGTCCGTATCGTAGAATGATTTCATTACAGACCTATTACATCCATTATGACCTCATGGCTCGTACATATTTTAATTAATATTAAATGATTATTTAGCTGTTGAAAATGGGCGAAACTGTATAATTTCTGATACAAATGCTGAGTTCAATACAATGATAATAATAAATTTACGATAAAGTAATCCTAGCAGCAGAATAAACAACACACATACTGTACATACGGACAGACGCCATTTATACACAAATATACTTATCGAGAAAAAAATACACTTATACTAAGTTATGAACAAGGTATCACAGACTCTAAATACTATTTTTTATTGAAAAGTCACTAACACAAAACCAATGACGTCATAGTCACTGAAAATGAACAGTTAATCTTACCACAACATTACTTTATTATGATGAGATATTAGATATTGATGAACCGTAAATGTAACTGAGTGAATGATGTTTAGTAAAGCTACGTGTAAATTATTATGTTTTAACAGTACACTCAGTGTGGAGTCAGTCTAAAGGCATTTAGAGCTGCCTATTCCGAGAACACGTTCCGTCACATCTGTTACCTACAACAGAAAGGCATCAACTTCCATTGTCTATGCTGGTTAAATTTCGTATATCCTTTTATACGATGAACATTGTGCAAGATATTTATACAATGGACATCACACTCTTTTATAAAAAGATAATGAGGATACTGAGAAATGTATAACCTATATCAGAATGTGAAACGTGTATAATTTGTCAATGAGATATAATTATGTTATCTGTTATCAAAGTTCATTGTAACTGTACTTTTAAGTCACTTAAATGTAATTAAGTGGTTTATAGTCTATTTACCTAAATTTGTAAAGTGTGTAAGGTTCCGCATACATTTACATGCGTGAATATATATCATATTTATGTAACCATTTACATCCTAACTAATAACAAAACATCCATGATACAGATATAGTAATTAATGTTATGTTACTCCACAATTCGTTCTTCAACAGGCTGTAAGAAGTAATACAAAATCACACGTAGAATGTCTCTATACCGACACTCTCTCCCTAATAACACATTACAACTAATACTACATAACCACACGTAGAATGTCTCTATACCGACACTCTCTCCCTAATAACACATTACAACTAATACTACATAACCACACGTAGAATGTCTCTATACCGACACTCTCTCCCTAACACATTACAACTAATACTACATAACCACACGTAGAATGTCTCTATACCGACACTCTCTCCCTAATAACACATTACAACTAATACTACATAACCACACGTAGAATGTCTCTATACCGACACTCTCTCCCTAATAACACATTACAACTAATACTACATAACCACACGTAGAATGTCTCTATACCGACACTCTCTCCCTAATAACACATTACAACTAATACTACATAACCACACGTAGAATGTCTCTATACCGACACTCTCTCCCTAATAACACATTACAACTAATACTACATAACCACACGTAGAATGTCTCTATACCGACACTCTCTCCCTAATAACACATTACAACTAATACTACATAACCACACGTAGAATGTCTCTATACCGACACTCTCTCCCTAATAACACATTACAACTAATACTACATAACCACACGTAGAATGTCTCTATACCGACACTCTCTCCCTAATAACACATTACAACTAATACTACATAACCACACGTAGAATGTCTCTATACCGACACTCTCTCCCTAATAACACATTACAACTAATACTACATAACCACACGTAGAATGTCTCTATACCGACACTCTCTCCCTAATAACACATTACAACTAATACTACATAACCACACGTAGAATGTCTCTATACCGACACTCTCTCCCTAATAACACATTACAACTAATACTACATAACCACACAAAGAACGTCTCAATACCGACACTCTCTCCCTAATAACACATTACAACTAATACTACATAACCACACGTAGAATGTCTCTATACCGACACTCTCTCCCTAATAACACATTACAACTAATCTACATAACCACACGTAGAATGTCTCTATACCACACTCTCTCCCTAACACATTACAACTAATACTACATAACCACACGTAGAATGTCTCTATACCGACACTCTCTCCCTAATAACACATTACAACTAATACTACATAACCACACAAAGAACGTCTCTACCCCGGAACTCTCTTCCTATAACTACACAAAGAACGTCTCTACCCCGGAACTCTCTTCCTATAACTACACAAAGAACGTCTCTACCCCGGAACTCTCTTCCTATAACTACACAAAGAATGTCTCTACCCCGGAACTCTCTTCCTATAACTACACAAAGAATGTCTCTACCCCGGAACTCCCTCCCTATTAGCAGATTAACGATACATAGCTACGCAAAGAATGTCCCTACCCCGGCACTCTCCTTAATAACATATTACAGCTAATACTACATAGCCACACATAGAACGTCTCTACTGCAGAACTATCTCTCCATTTTCAGATTAACGATACATACCCACACATAGCACGTCCCTACTCCAGAACTACACACCCATTAGTAGATGTAAACAAACGGTACATACCCACACATAGAATGTCCCTACCCCGGCACTTCCTCCACTAATCGCCGACACTTGATCATACTGAATTATCATCTGGTATGCAGTCTCTGCTCTTTCCACTGTTACTCCACTAATCTCAAACCTTTTGATTTTGTTCAAAAATCCGTTTTTGCCTGACCTCTTCATATATTTCTGGATATTCTGCCAATGCTGAACAAGAAAATAAAGAAAGTTTGCTTAAAAGCACTTAAGTATTGCAGGAAGGCGTCGAAAAAGGTAGAAACTTGATTGAGACACATTCCAAACGGAAAACAAATGTTGCATCACAATTTTGTTCTCGACGTTAAGTTATCGGAGATAGCATATTAAAGCGAAAATCAAAAAAGTTTGATGTGAAGTGAATTCGTCCAATAATTCAATGACAACATTCATACAGCTACGTGTATTATACCTCATACCTCTACATCTGAGATAGATTCTCCTAATAATATCATGGTAGCCTTCATGATGTCGTGGACAAGAGGCCTTGGTTTCTTGTACCCAGATATTTCAGACACAGTCTGGCGTCCCATGCTAAGTACGCTGTGTCGGAGCGAAGGTGCCGACAGACCGCTTAGACAGGCTTCAGCTTCTGTGACACTAGGTAACAGTTCTTCTTGGTGGCTTTTACACTCTTTTGCTTTAACGATGGCATTTAGAAGGATCTGTTTATTCTTGCGCTTCATACCCTCTGTTAACTCTAAAACCATTCGTGCATGTCATGCAACTGATATATGCATGTTAAAACATCATGTTGATAAATATGATAAATAAACATAGCGTAGGCCAATAGGAAGCACAGTATTTACAAAGATATTGATAAATAATATGAACTAATTTCAACACGTTGTCGAACAATATCTAACATTTAAATGGAAATTCAAGAAAATGATTAAAACGATGAAGCTCCAAAAAGACTACGACCACTTATTAAAAATGGAAAGATAAATACAAAACAACACAGGGTGTTGAAAAACTACCTTGTTTGATTCTGAGAAAGTTTAATTTTTCAGTAGCTCGATCAAGCTCCCCTTTATCAGTCATGTTCAGCAACTGAAAGGCATTCAATACTTGTTGAAGTACTTCGGGGTTATTGGTTTTCTTTGTGACAAACACAAGCCTTTCTCTCGCTTTCCTCTTGACAGGGTTCTGTGGGAAGGAAGTCATTTCTTTTCATTAGGATCGACAATAAAGGGGAGATAACCTACACAAAGATATGATCTTGCATCATGTTATTGTTAGAGGTAGATATACATACCTTATATACATATATACTTATGATTGTAATATTTATCACGAGGTCACTGTTAGTAGATGTTCAAACAAATTATTTTCTCGTCTGATTTTTTATAAAACTGTATTCAACTTAGAAGTTTTAATCGTTGATTGAATTCTTTTAAATCCATTTTCTCTTAAATAGGTCACCACACAAAAATATACCAATACATCCGATAACATTGTTAAAATCAAAGGTTCTAAAAGCATTATACTCACCTCCCGGAACCGAGTTTGTACATTCTCTGTAGTAAGGAGATAATTACAGGCCACGGTGTATGGTTTATTTAAATGATTGGGTTGACAGTGGATAACTAAAGCATACTCCCCACTCATCGGTACTTTTACTCGTATAATCAGTTCGTTGTCATATATGTTATGTGTGACATATTGACTGACCTCCTTTTTACTGTCGAACAGTTGCGTCTTAACTAAAATTTCTTCTGTTATGTCAAAGGTCACAATTAACTCTTGATTCACGTTTGTTTTGATAATCCCGCTTATATGAGAGTTAGGAACGAGTCCAGCATCCAAAGTGCTGATGCACGGTCCAAAGTCTAGCACTGGGTGTTCTGGAAAGCCATTCCTTATTACTGTTGACTTCTGGGAAACAATGCGGACTGAACAAAGCCAGCCTCGTTTGGAGTCGGATACTTTTAGTCTAAAAACACCATTACATGGTAACCTTACGTTCACTCTCCGAGTTTTATTACTGTGTATAATGGCAACATATCTGTTGAGATCAATGTTTGCGGGGAGATCTTCATTCGACACGTCTCTGTCAAATGTCATGACTGAGGAAAGTTTAGCATCTTCTTCCCGTCCCTGTTTCAGAGTGAGGTTAATTTTATAATAGCCACGACTGGCCTGTACAGTACCGTCTTGGGATGCTGGTAGTTGAATATAACTTTCGAAATAATGTGAGCTGACATATGGAAGTCTTTTGAATTGCTCTTTGGAATAAGGATATTGGAGAAGCTGCCAATCGGTTTTAAAAGGAAAACACCTGAAGATAAACTCATCTGGGTCCGTGAGAAAGAAGAATTCATTCACGAAGCTATCAGTGTCCATTACTTCAGTAGAATTCTCTCCTATATCTGTATATTTTTCCAGAAGACAGAAAGTGAATAGCACCTTTTAGTATTATTTTTAGAATCAGATAATGAATTAAACTACACCATACAGATCTTTCGTCTTTTTAACAACTGAAGGAAGTTACATTATTTCCATTTATTACATTTTTGCCGGTGAAATATAGAAGTGTCTTATTGATGAAAGTGTTATTTTTTGTTAGTGAAGCTATTGCAGACTTACGCCAATGAAAGGAGAGAACACAAATTATCTGATAAAATTGACCAATCATGAGGCCCGGTACAAACAAAAAACAAACAAAAAAAATAGATATCTAATGGGGTTGTTTATTTTCAATTCCATAAAAATATTAGACACACCTGTGAAATATATCTAAAGCACAATCGTCAGTCATTAAAATCATTTGTCCCCTAAAAAGGTTCACAATACAAACTTTATTTGAATAATGTGTTAGTATAAACGTAGAAAATAAATAAAATCCTACCTGCTTCATTTGAAAGTGTCCATAATGGAAACACGAGCCTCCAGCCACCGGTTACATAAACCGCTGTCCATGTGTTGGTCAGGTTAGTCAGGCTCTCCTTCCCTACTTCGTACTGTTTACCCTTAGCTAGTCCATCCACCAGTACACATGGAATGTTGGCCTTTCTGTTGTAATGTATAGACAGCAATAACAAAAACATTACTGAAATAATTCACTTTGCAGTAAAAGAGTTGTGAAAAGACATTTGTCATACGTACGTTATACATTGTCTATATTTTGGGAAAAGGTTGTACATTGTATATATTTTGAGTAAAGGTTGTACATTGTATATATTTTGGGTAAAGGTTGTACATTGTATATATTTTGGGTAAAGGTTGTACATTGTATATATTTTGGGTAAAGGTTGTACATTGTATATATTTTGGGTAAAGGTTGTACATTGTATATATTTTGGGTAAAGGTTGTATATATTTTGTATATATTTTGATTGTATATATTTTGGTTAAAGTACATTGTATATATTTTGGGTAAAGGTATATATTTTGTAAATTGTATATATTTTGGGTAAAGGTCGTACATTGTATATATTTTGGGTAAAGGTTGTACATTGTATATATTTTGGGTAAAGGTTGTACATTGTATATATTTTGGGTATAGATTGTACATTGTATATATTTTGGGTAAAGGTCGTACATTGTATATATTTTGGGTAAAGGTTGTACATTGTATATATTTTGTACATTGTATATATTTTGGGTAAAGGTTGTACATTGTATATATTTTGGGTAAAGTTAGCACATTGTATATATTTTGAGTAATTGTATATATTTTGGGTATGTTGTACATTGTATATATTTTGAGTAAATATTGTACATTGTATATATTTTGGGTAAAGGTTGTACATTGTATATATTTTGGGTAAAGTACATTGTATATATTTTGGGTAGGTTGTACATTGTATATATTTTGAGTATAAGGTTGTACATTGTATATATTTTGGGTATAGATTGTACATTGTATATATTTTGGGTAAAGGTTGTACATTGTATATATTTTGGGTAAAGGTTGTACATTGTATATATTTTGGGTAAAGGTTGTACATTGTATATATTTTGGGTATAGATTGTACATTGTATATATTTTGGGTAAAGGTTGTACATTGTATATATTTTGGGTAAAGGTTGTACATTGTATATATTTTGGGTAAAGGTTGAACATTGTATATATTTTGAGTAAAGGTAGTACATTGTATATATTTTGGGTAAAGGTTGTACATTGTATATATTTTGGGTAAAGTTAGCACATTGTATATATTTTGAGTAAATGTCGTACATTGTATATATTTTGAGTAAATATTGTACATTGTATATATTTTGGGTAAAGGTTGTACATTGTATATATTTTGGGTATAGATTGTACATTGTATATATTTTGGGTAAAGGTCGTACATTGTATATATTTTGGGTATAGATTGTACATTGTATATATTTTGGGTAAAGGTTGAATTTTATAATTCTCATTGTATTGTCCATAACGATTACAGGACACACAATTTATGTAATTTTTGTTTTATTTGGACAACAAACGTTCTTATTGATCGCTATTTATTCATTTTATTTCATTGTTATTCACTTTAAGTTCAGACTGAGATACCGAAATAGAGTTTGACTCTAATCATTACTCGCTATGGTATAGGTATGCTAATTATACCAATCTGATCACTTACCTGCATAAGAATGTAAACAATTCGGAGTAAGAAATACTGCCAGAGTGTAGTCGCTTCAGATACCCCATTGGGGAGCACTTGTCTGGTCTGAAGGTCAGGTCATAACTCCTGTGGTACCAGATCCACATCAGGATTGCTCGTACTCTTTGTACCTCCTTTTGGAACTCTCCAGTTAGCTCATCTAATAGGATTTCTACTGTCTCCACCGATTCTGGTGTTACCTACACAACATAACAAAAAGCAGTCTTGTATTTTATTGTTTGACTGATTCACGTTTTGTCCAGGTTTGTTTGAATTGTAGTTTTATGATAGCAGATATGTGTTTATCTAATTTCTGAGATTTTCTCTCCCCTATGCCGCCTACAAAAGTGGATACATACAAGTTCAGCCTTGCAATCGGGGTCGGTATACAGGTCTGATGTAGCTATATCTGCCTTACGGGTGTTAGAGGGACGTGGTGGCGGGTAATCTTGTGGGATAATCCGCAGGTTATCAATCTGTGTCGAGGAATGAAAAAGTTGTCACTAAAATATCGACAATGTCATGGAATATGGATTGTATAACATCGCATCTTGATTTCATATTATGTTATCGTGTTCTCCCATAAAAAATGATTAATACTTTTTGTTTCAAGTTTCATCACCAGTAAGATCAGTGAGATTTTATTCTAAACAAAGAAAACAAATTGGTATCAAGTTCGTTCAGACTTACCGTACTACAAACATGAGGTCTATCGTTTTAAGATCTTTGTGTGACACTTTATCAACTAACTATCATTGCTTTGCTATCTGTATAATCATATATCTTACTATATGTTAATTTATAAGTAATACACACCTCACTATCAAACACCTTCCTGTGTTTTTTCGTTTTCGACATTCGTTTGGCAACACACTTGTAACGTTTTCCAATCTCGCCCTCGGTATTGGACGGAACCTATGATACACACAGAATAGGTGTCATTGTTCCTTATTGTCATATATTGATTGAGTGAGTGATTGTATTAACAACAAAGTAAATACTGAAATGTCAACAAAATGGTCGAAATAGATGACACCATGGCATGACGACACCCATCACGGAAAGCTGGGTCAATCAAAGTAAGTGATTCCTTATTGGTAATACAAAGTAAACAACAACAGAACCACCTGGCTACTAAGCTTACGAACATCAACGCACTATAGTTTGGGAAGCAGGAAGGATGATATCTAGAAACTGAAAATTTACAGTACAGAAAGCATCACACTCGTCACACAGCTTATAATTGGAAAGCTATCTCCGCTGGTTTCAGTGCAGGAAAAGTAGAGATAAGAGTCTGGTGTAGACAAATAATTCGTGTCCTTGATTTCATTAAATTTCCTGTTATTTGAAGACATCATCAATATATCTGAAAGAGACATGGAATGACTTGACAATGTTTCTGTTTCTTGTTTTGGTAAGCTCTTCGATAAATGGACACAAAAACAAGTCAGTTAAGGGTGAGACAGTTTGGTCCGATAGGTATGTCAGTTGTCTGTTGGAAGTTCCAAATACATTGCAGAAGGATATTATGTGAGGGAAATTTTGTAAATCTTGAATCTTTTATGATTCGTAGTGATAAACTATCTGGTACGAAATAGATTTGATAAAATGTTGTTATTAAACACAATTTAGTCAAGTTCTAATACATTTCTAGGAACGCGATATCGACCTTACCTCCTTACGTGCTTACCTCCTCTAATGCTCCCCGTTGATTGACGTTGTTTGAATCATCAACCTGTGATTGTACTGGGATCGTCTCTATACATCCCTCACCCTCGTCTCTCTCTACGTGTATACGAGAAGATTGTCTCTGACTAAAGCATGTAGAATGTGCCACGTTATCCAGCCCGTTATATCCGTTCTCATCCGGCAGGTTGTCGGCAGTAGCGGAATCCCTTTCTGTTCCCTCATCGATGTATTCTTCCTCGGGATAAAGTTCTCCATAGGTAGGAAGTGAATTTTCTCGCTCGTTAGGAGCACTGTTATAGTCTGGAAGTGGCTGGTCGTGTCTGTATGACGTAAATTGCGCATGTGACGTCAGAGTTAAACCATTAGATGTATTATATTGCTCCTGACCATTTGATTGTTCAGTGGTCACGTTACTTGTAGACACGCCCATATTTCTATCATTACTTACTCGACTGTAATCCTGATAAGCAGGATGTTCTCTTGGTGATGAATTTACTGGTGCCCTTCTACTGGTGACCGACAGATGTTGTCTCTCTGAATGAGAAGCTTTAGCAGAATGATCGGAAACACTTACGACAGTAGTGCTTGAACTAGTACCACCGATGCTAACGGGCGAGAGATGTTTGGACTGATCTACATAGGTGTAGCATTGTATAAAGCGGTTCTAAAATCCTGACACTATGATCTGGTTTATAACATTATAACTGGTTGGAGAGTAATTACATCTTTTGTTGGTGGACAGATTTGTTTCCATTTACGACTTTTAATTGAGTCTTCCTACATCTATTGAATTTTACTGTCACCTGTAATTAAGGCCGGACTATTTATATTGAATTCGTAACATTATGTGTGAAAAAACTCACGACAACTTAAATATAATTTTCGTAAAGTGAGGTTGTTTTTAATACATTAAAACATCCATTTAAATCCAAGCATACATTTCACTTGATAAGCTTCCACCTACCATCAGTTAACGTACATATAATGTCAATTTATTTAAAATTTTCGTTTAATTTAGCTAATTGAAATTAAGCATAAATGTAATGTGTCTTCAGGTGCATGTTTGATTGCAAGTGTTAACCGTGCCCGGAAGCTAAAAACCCGATGTTAAAATACTGTAACATGATAATTCTGTCCTTCTGAGAGCTAACATGTTTAAATACTGTAACATGATAATTCTGTCCTTCTGGAAGTTAACATGTTTAAATACTGTAACATGATAATTCTGTCCTTCTGGAAGCTAACATGACAAAATATTGTAATATAATAATTCTGTCTTTCAGGAGGGTGATATGCCGATGCTAAGATATTGTGATATAGTAATTCTGTGGAACATTTCCTGACCGGAACTATGCTCTCGTGGTCAGTATTCGATTTCTTTGTGTTTGTTGTGTGTGGTTGATTCGTTTAGATATTTATTTGATTTACCTACAATTAAAAGGCGGGTTTCGTCGATCAACCAGAGACGTTTTCATTTCCAGAACACCCAGTTTACACTTCCAGAACACCCAGTTTACACTTCCAGAACACCCAATTTACACTTCCAGAACACCCAATTTACACTTCCAGAACACCCAATTTACACTTCCAGAACACCCAATTTACACTTCCAGAACACCAAGTTTACACTTCCAGAACACCCAATTTACACTTCAAGAACACCCAGGTTACACTTCCTGAACACCCAATTTACACTTCCAGAACACCCAATTTACACTTCCAGAACACCCAATTTACACTTCCAGAACACCAAGTTTACACTTCCAGAACACCCAATTTACACTTCAAGAACACCCAATTTACACTTCCTGAACACCCAATTTACACTTCCAGAACATCATGTTTACACTTCCAGAATACCCTATTTACACTTCCAGAACACCCAGTTTACACTTCCAGAACAACCAGTTTACACTTCCAGAACACCCAATTTACACTTCAAGAACACCCAGGTTACACTTCCTGAATACCCAATTTACACTTCCAGAACACCCAATTTACACTTCCAGAACACCCAATTTACACTTCCAGAACACCCTATTTACACTTCCAGAACACCCAATTTACACTTCCAGAACACCGAGTTTACACTTCCAGACACCCAATTTACACTTCCAGAACACCCAATTTACACTTCCAGAACACCTAGTTTACACTTCCAGAACACCCAGTTTACACTTCCGGAACACCCAATTTACACTTCCAGAACACCGAGTTTACACTTCCAGAACACCCAATTTACACTTCCAGAACACCCAATTTACACTTCCAGAACACCCAGTTTACACTTCCAGAACACCCAATTTACACTTTCAGAACACCCAATTTACACTTCCAGAACACCCTATTTACACTTCCAGAACACCCAGTTTACAGAACACCCAGTTTACACTTCCAGAACACCCAATTTACACTTTCAGAACACCCAATTTACACTTCCAGAACACCCAATTTACAGAACACCCAATTTACACTTCCAGAACACCCAATTTACACTTCCAGAATACCCAATTTACACTTCCAGAACACCCAATTTACAGAACACCCAATTTACACTTCCAGAACACCCAGTTTACACTTCCAGAACACCCAGTTTTACTCCCCTTGTAAGTTCTCAAGTCTTCATTGGATATTTGTTCATAATTTGTCGTTTTATCCAGTTTTTGTTTCCACAATGATTTTGTTGAATTGTAGGTATGCTATTATTTGTATTGTCCTTAGTTTTCTGTATCTAAGCTCTTTATTATTAGCATTTGTTCTTCTTTCTTCACTAAAATTTGTAAAACTTTGAGGTATAACAAAATTACTCAAATACCTGACAAAAACACAGTACAACTATTGAAGGTTTTCTATGTATCAAATCTTTATTATCTATCGAATTAACATGTTATTTTACAAGTTTAATCAAACATTGAAGGAAACACTAATCTTCATTCTCTTTCACAACCCGTATCTCTACAATCAACGTTCATGTCTTTTACGTGTGTCCAATGGTCGCATGAGTTATCTTATTGCAAAGTAACCTGTCCTTGTGAGCAGATGTTGATTGTTACGTCACACGTCACAAATTGATGACGTTATCCTCACAATCAAATGACCTAACAACAAATACCTGCTTAAAAGAGCAGATAACGCTGTATTACGAAAATACGAAAACTATCGTGATTTTAAATGAAAGTTCGTACAGAGTTTTCATCACTCCATGACGGGAACTGGTATGGTATAGCATAACCAAGACTCCATTGAGATATTCATGAAAGCATTTTCTCAGAACAAAGTTATTTCAAAATAACGACCGTTCGATAAATCAAACTTTTCAATATGTGATGTCAACGCTCAGTTCAAAGATGATTGTATCATGAAGTTACCGAGTGAAATAATCTCTTACCTATGGTAGTTCCTTGTTGTAATAATCCTGGTTATACCAGGCTTACTTTAGCACAATTTTTATGACAAGGATAACAATATCGATTTGTTACTGGCGTTATGTGGTGATACCAAAGTTTCTACATCACAGATGTTATGATGTCGATATCAGGTAAGTTATTGATGTTACAGGTAAGTTTATCATTGTGTTACAGAGTACGACTCGAATGGTGTCAGATATATAACATACTGGTATACGTTATAAACTCTGACAATTATAAACTGGTGCTTATATTGTATTTGTTATAATACTGATAACAAGGCCTTTAGCAATGATGAAATGGTCAGATGTTTACCTGTTATTATAAATATCTTAACTGAGAACAAGATGATTACCTGTTTTAACACTGATAAAAGGATAACTGTAAATATATTAACTTATAACAAGGTCGTTATATGTTATAGATAATACTTATAATGCATGGGCGTGATGTTATGAAACCTTAAAATCAATCAGGGAGTAAAACAGATATCACGGATAGACATAAGAATATAGGAGTTTTATCCTTCTGTATATATATACGTATATATATATATGTCTCTTACACTGTTGTTGTATCACTTAATATGTTACATCTGAAATCTGCGTAGTCATGTTCAATATTCAGGTTATGATATTTATATCGTTATTATATCATTATGTGTAATATATTTCAGAGTATTCATTAAGCTTATTGTTATCTAAAGTTTTCTCTTCTTATGTCGATAATCTATACGATAACAGGCTAAACCTGTTCCATATCAGTTGGTTTTATCTAATCTTAAACCACGAAGCAATGCTGACATGCATTAGAGATTGAAATTTAATACTGTATACCACGTGCAAGTCTATATTTAGTTGACATAAATTAAAGACAGAGAATCATTCGTCCCAGATATGAGGGGGCGTAACTCCATAAGGACGGATACACGAGTGGTCTTCCTTTGTTTGCCAAACGTCCATATCTTGTATATAATAAAGCGCACACTTGACTATGTATTTTTAGTCACTGTAACAGGCACGCTTTGTTAATGACGACATAGTTATCACACGACCGTGACATCTCAAAATATGCTTTCAGGACGTTTAGAAAAAAATCAAACTTTCATGCGACTCGGTTGTTTTCATTAAACTTGTCATTCAGTCAGTCCATTCGAAACAAATATGTACGTAATTGTATGTAATTAAGTTGTGTTAACTCGTTATAACCTGTTATAGTTTGTGTATACGACCTTGTGTGGTATGAACACTTGTCAAACGTTTACTACATATATGATCATGTCAGGTACAATGTATTTCACTGAGTTCGGGACTGACTTGGTGGAGCTATTTAACGTGTTTTATTGAGTTTTTGCATTGCCATCGTAGTACCCGGTCCACTTCAGTACTTCTTTTGTAATATTGTAAACCTTGAAAGAGAAGCAAATATATAGTCAATAATAAAGTCTTGATTAAAAAATAACTTTAAGTCATTTTCATTTTTATAGAACATCACCATCATTTTAAACATATAGTAAAGGCACGAAACAACACTGTATGTGGTGGCTATTGAAATTAAAGGGACTTGTTAGCGACTTTACAAGCATATTACAAAAGAATTACGGTCACAACTGAATTAGGAGATTTTTTCTTAGGTGGAATGCGACATATTATGCAGCAACTGTCTGTTGTAGTAACACATTGCTGGTATATGTGATAGGTCAGGGAAAAAAATCATGATACGATGATTAGCATTAAAACGTTACTCGGCATAAAAGCAGATGGTTAACATACCCAGACATAGAAAGCTCCTGCAGCTGCGCTAGCCTCCAACAAGTTTGATTTATCGTAAGGGGAGATAATATCAGCTGCGCGCTGGGCGGTCTCATTGTCCAGGTAGATGGTGTCAAAATGTTCGATCTTATAAAGTACGTTACTCCGCCCCGCTTTCCTCAGTAAATCCTGAATGACCTCCCACTCCTGAAAAAAATACCACTTACTATCGATGTCACGTGATAAATCATTCTATAGAATCTATGTTTCATGAGATATCTACAGTGTCATTTTTGTAAAGTTAGAAACCTTTTCTTTTACTATTAATTATGGCTTCAGAGTATCACGAACCTGTTTTGTGACTTTAAGGCTCGTCCCTTATGCTTTATACAATGTACAATTACATATCGGCTCTCCGGATAACAATGGAAATGTAGGACACACAAACTATTAAAGATAGACCATTAAACTATGATTGTTAACCTCCAATAATACTTCTTGCTCGCCGAGGACCAGGAAAGTAGCCTTCATGACGTCATGGATGGACTGCTTGGGTATGTTGTAGCGGTGAATCTCGGACACGGTGGTACGCTGCAGGGCCAGTACGTCGTGGGCGTACAGTTTTATATGTTGAAGATATTTAAGGAGATTCTCTCCATCCTCTATCATTGATTCCACCTTGTCCCTATACTCAGAATCCTTGGCTCTCCGTAATGCTTCCTCAAGTACCTCAACATGGCGCCGGTTTATACCGTCCCGTAGTCCTGGGGAATAGAATAACATCACAGATCTTTGATTTAACTTTGTATGCTACACTATATACGTCAATGGTTTTTTTTTAATTGTTTACCAATATTGATTTCATTGTTACCAATATCATAAGATGGATATTGGTATTATAAGATAAGAAATGGGAAATGTGCGGTATCAATGGTAAGATAAGAAATGAGAAACGTGCGGTATCAATGGTAAGACAGGAAATGAGAAACGTGCGGTATTAATAGTAAGATAAGAAATGGGAAACGTGCGGTATCAATGGTAAGATAAGAAATGGGAAACGTGCGGTATCAATGGTAAGATAAGAAATGGGAAACGTGCGGTATCAATGGTAAGATGGGAAATGGGAAACGTGCGATATCAATGATAAAACAAGAAATGGGAAACGTGTGGTATCAATGGTGAGATAAGAAATGAGAAATGTGCGGTATCAATATTAAGATAAGAAATGGGAAACGTGCGGTATCAATGGTAAGATAAAATTACAGAGGGAGAGTCAACAATACGACATCAGTCATAATTACATTTTACCAAAAGTAGGCGGAAATTTAACTCACTACTTTTCACTTCTAGATAGCCAATACGTCTCTGTGCACGATCGACCTCCCCATGGTTTATGAGTTCAAGGTCATTGAACGTTTGAAGTGCTTTCTTTATTTCCTTTGGATCTTTCGATGTGCTGGTCGACTCATCAAGACGCTGACGTATGAGTTTCTCTCTGGCGTTCTACAAAATATCGGAAAGCAAAAGTTGGGGTTTCTATGGAAAATGATTCTTTTGTCTGCCAACTGTAGTTAACTGTGAGCTTAAATTAGCAAATAATTTTGACAGTACAAATCTATTCATGTAATATGGGGAATATTGGTGTATCATAATCATCAATTGAAAAGTTTCCTAAAATAGTATGTCATAAAATCTCACTATTTTTTAGCTGATGTCTAACTATCTACATCACTGATTATGTTACACTGTACATGTATCTATATCTAACTATCTACATCACTGATTATGTTACACTGTACATGTATCTATGTCTACCTATATACATTATGTTACACTGTACATGTATCTATGTCTACCTATCTACATTATGTTACACTGTACATGTATCTATGTCTACCTATCTACATTATGTTACACTGTACATGTATCTATGTCTACCTATCTACATTATGTTACACTGTACATTTATCTATGTCTACCTATCTACATTGTTACACTGTACATGTATCTATGTCTACCTATCTACATTATGTTACACTGTACATGTATCTATGTCTACCTATCTACATTATGTTACACTGTACATTATGTTACACTGTACATTATGTTACACTGTACATGTATCTATGTCTACCTATCTACATTATGTTACACTGTACATGTATCTATGTCTACCTATCTACATTATGTTACACTGTACATGTATCTATGTCTACCTATCTCCATGTTACACTGTACATGTATCTATGTCTAACTATCTACATTATGTTACACTGTACATTATGTTACACTGTACATGTATCTATGTCTACCTATATACATTATGTTACACTGTACATGTATCTATGTCTACCTATCTACATTATGTTACACTGTACATGTATCTATGTCTACCTATCTACATTGTTACACTGTACATGTATCTATGTCTACCTATCTACATTATGTTACACTGTACATGTATATATGTCTACCTATCTACATTGTTACACTGTACATGTATCTATGTCTACCTATATACATTATGTTACACTGTACATGTATATATGTCTACCTATCTACATTATGTTACACTGTACATGTATATATGTCTACCTATCTACATTATGTTACACTGTACATGTGTCTATGTCTACCTATATACATTATGTTACACTGTACATGTATCTATGTCTACCTATATACATTATGTTACACTGTACATGTATCTATGACTACCTATATACATTATGTTACACTGTACATGTATCTATGTCTACCTATATACATTATGTTACACTGTACATTATGTTACACTGTACATTATGTTACACTGTACATGTATCTATGTCTACCTATCTACATTATGTTACTACCTATCTACATTATGTTACACTGTACATGTATCTATGTCTACCTATCTACATTATGTTACACTGTACATGTATCTATGTCTACCTATCTACATTATGTTACACTGTACATGTATCTATGTCTACCTATATACATTATGTTACACTGTACATTATGTTACACTGTACATGTGTCTATGTCTACCAATATACATTATGTTACACTGTACATGTATCTATATCTAACTATCTACATTATGTTAAACTGTACATGTATCTATGTCTACCTATTTACATTATGTTACACTGTACATGTATCTATGTCTAACTATCTACATTATGTTACACTGTACATGTATCTATGTCTACCTATATACATTATATTACACTGTACATGTATCTATGTCTACCTATCTACATTATGTTACAATGCACATTATCTATGTCTACCTATCTACATTATGTTACACTGTACATGTATCTATGTCTACCTATCTACATTATGTTAAACTGTACATGTCTACATGTATGTACATGTATCTATGTCTAACTATCTACATTATGTTACACTGTACATGTATCTATGTCTACCTATCTACATTGTTACACTGTACATGTATCTATGTCTACCTATCTACATTGTTACACTGTACATGTATCTATGTCTACCTATCTACATTATGTTACACTGTACATGTATCTATGTCTAACTATCTACATTATGTTACACTGTACATGTATCTATGTCTACCTATATACATTATGTTACACTGTACATGTATCTATGTCTACCTATCTACATTATGTTACACTGTACATGTATCTATGTCTACCTATATACATTATGTTACACTGTACATGTATCTATGTCTACCTATCTACATTATGTTACACTGTACATGTATCTATGTCTACCTATCTACATTATGTTACACTGTACATGTATCTATGTCTACCTATCTACATTATGTTACACTGTAAATGTATCTATGTCTACCTATATACATTATGTTACAATGTACATGTATCTATGTCTACCTATCTACATTATGTTACACTGTAAATGTATCTATGTCTACCTATATACATTATGTTACAATGTACATGTATCTATGTCTACCTATCTACATTATGTTACACTGTAAATGTATCTATGTCTACCTATATACATTATGTTACACTGTACATGTATCTATGTCTACCTATCTACATTATGTTACACTGTACATGTATCTATGTCTACCTATCTACATTATGTTACACTGTACATGTATATATGTCTACCTATCTACATGTTACACTTATGTTACACTGTACATGTATCTATGTCTACCTATCTACATTGTTACACTGTACATGTATCTATGTCTACCTATCTACATTATGTTACACTGTACATGTATCTATGTCTACCTATCTACATTATGTTACACTGTACATGTATCTATGTCTACCTATCTACATTATGTTACACTGTAAATGTATCTATGTCTACCTATATACATTATGTTACAATGTACATGTATCTATGTCTACCTATCTACATTATGTTACACTGTAAATGTATCTATGTCTACCTATATACATTATGTTACAATGTACATTATCTATGTCTACCTATCTACATTATGTTACACTGTTTTTATTTTTTAAGCGGCCATCTGACCGGTCAAAGGCAACCTGATTAGTCGATATTTCGCCAAAATTTAGATACCGTCCTAGTCTCATTAAAATGGTTATGTAGGTGTAGTTTTACACCCGAGTCTTTATGGTCACACCGTTTTCCGATTGGACAAAATGACTATACCAGAGCGGCTTCTGGTAGTTTGAAAATTCACATGACCGGTCAACTGCCGCCTCTAACTGTTAAAAATTTAGCCAAAGTTTAAATATTGCCGATTGCGATGAAAATTGTTACCTACAAATGTAGGCGCGTTTTTACAACAAAAGTAGCATGGTGACATTCGTTTTCTGGTTGCAAAAGATGTCAGCAACATCGCGGCTTCTGATTTGATGAATCGGAGATTTCCTCCGAATTCCATGAAAATTATATATATAAGTGGTTATACAAAAATCACCGCAATGGAAGCATTCGTTTTCCAATTGGCCAAGATGGCCACCACATAGCTGCTAAAATGGTGACACTTGTGACAATAATGTTCAATTTCTAAGAAAATTGTTGTATTTGTATTGTTTGACATCAGCAACATAATAATGGGGTCGAGTTTATCATTTAACCAAATGGCCACCAGCGAAGAGTTAAAGATTAGTTGAAATTTCCATCATTTTGTCCTACACACATGACTGATATGGTGTTTTTCAAATATTGTTCAATTCTTATCACATATCTTATCGACCTTAGTTTAACTCTATGTACATCAAGTACGACTGCGGGGGTGTTTGGTGGGGGCGGAATATATGTTTTGTCTATTTTTGATTCATTTGATAGCTTTTAAGTGATGTGCAATCGTCAATATGTTTATCTTCAGATTATCTTGATATTTGCACGAATATCAAGCACTAGAAAATAAACAAAAACATATCATTTTGTTGAAACACATTTCTAGAGTATTGTGAGATAATATCGCTTTGTGGAGCTCATGTTACATATGGTTCTGACGGTAACAAGGGGCTGGATATCCCCGGATACATCTAGAGAGCCCCGGATAGCCCCAGATACCCTTGGATACCCCTGGATACCCTTGGATACACCAGGGTAGCCCTGGATACCCCTGAATACCCCTGGATGCCCCTGATACAATAGAAACATCGTCAGTTAAAATCACTACAATTGATTGTTATTTAACTAAATTCAAAATCAGCTAATTCACCTCCCAGCCTTTGTCTTTTCTTGGTTTCACGTCCGTCTCCACCAGGTAGTTACAAGCGTTTCGGAACTCCTCGTTTGACCCCTTAGCCTTGTCCTTGGTGTAGATCTGGAGTGCGTACTCTCCATTTTGAGGGAGTGCTAAATGAACAGTAAGTTGGTTGTCCAAAATTTTGTGTGATACGTAGTTCTGTAACTCCGCGGGGGATATCGTATTGTGCACTAATTCAGTTCGAATTTGAAGATTTCTTAGCAAAGTGAACTTAATCTGAATGTGTTGTTTCTTTGTCATAGTTATAACACCATTTCTATAGGCCAGCGTCTCTACCTTGAGACCAGCATTCTCTGTCTCTTTACACGGTCCAAACCCTATCGTAGACTGAATGGGATAGGGATCCCAAGGCTCTATGTTCTCATCACACCAAATCTTAAAGAAACAGATCCAGTCTTTTGCCTCGTCAACAACCTCCAGTTTAAATACGCCGTCAGCCGGAAGTCTCAACACGAAGTTAGTTTTGTCTGCCTCGTTCATTACCGCCACATACCTCTCTAACTGAATATCGTCCGGAATATCTCGGTCTGATTCCTTGTGATTATAAAACAGTTCATAGGACAGGGGAACAAACACAGGTCCAGGCTTAAAAGCGATGTTACACTTCCCCTTTTTAGTCTTAATGATAGAATCAAACTTGGTCGAAATGTGTAATCCATATTGAAAATATGGCGGCCATAGGTATGGTACCCGGATGAATTTTCTCTTACTGATTGGTTCTTTAAGGAGTTGCCACTTCTCCTCGTCTGGCAAGCACGTGAAGCAGAATTCCTCTGGATCTATTAGGAAATAATAGTCGTCTACCTGACTGACGGACTCTCCAGCAGATTCTTCCTGTCTCTCACGCATGGGGTCACCTGGACAGTTAACAAAAGATGGTTCTTATCTTTGTCATCGAGTTTTAAATTGTGTAATCAGTATGATTAATTAACTTATCAATTACTAGTTTACATACATTGATCGATTTCTATTTTTATCGAGTTCTAGACATTAATATACATGTACCTTTAGATTCTACAAGTGTCCAGTCTCCCGTTGTCTTGCCAACCACCGCTGATAAGGCCCACAAAGGGAACACAAACCGCCATTCTCCACTCACATAGACAGCGTTCCACATATTTCTCAGAGAATCGACATTCTTGTCCCCTACCTCATATGATGCGGATTTGGCTATTCCTCTAATAATCACACACGGCAGTTTAGCAGCTCTGGGGGAGAGATGAAACGTCGGTTTAAACAACAAATCTAATTTGAAATTCAGTTTTGATCTATATCTCCTACTTCAAAGCTAACCTATTTAAATTTCATGAAAACTCCAGTACTTTACGTTCTTTGAAATGCATGTTTCTATTTTCTGCACTTGGAGTTTTTATTATTGGAGCAATAGTTCTGATATCTTGTAGCATGTTATTAATAGATCAAACGAAAAAAGTAATTTATTTTTACATCAGGCACCGAAATCATGTTTAGTCTACTGGAAATTACTGTCTGATGATTAAAATTTTCAAATCTTTAAAATATCGTTTTTAAAATACCGATATGTTAAATAAAAAGGTTTGGCTCTCTTCTGCTGATACCTGAAATAAAATACTATAGTATGTATGCCATATGTAATCAACTGATCCTTAAACAATTAAGATATCGTTACACCGCAAGCAATTAAAGTTTTTATTAACCTTTGGCAGTCATTGCGTAAAGTGGAACATAATTTTGATCCTTTCATCCATCCTACATGTAGTATTACCAGATAACGATGTTATCCATCACTTGAAACATCTTGTTTAACGTCGCTTGTAGCTTTACGTATCTTCAAACATTTATCATTATGAAGTATATAAATCTGGTTAGTGTCCAATCAAAAACACTATATCACGTGACACTGGTTAAAAGACGAAACATTTCAACAACAATTCTTCGATAAAACGTGATCGTAAAGTAAAAAGCAAAAAATGGGTTGTGCCATTTGTTCGAACATTCTATAGCCATACAAGGATCGGCCCAATATCTTACTGTGTTATAAAGTAAGTTGTATAGTATGATGTTCAAAATCTAATTCAGATTTCGTATGGGCCCTTACAAAATTGGGGTCAAAATTGGGGAAGATGTTGTAAAATGAAAAGTTCCTTAAAGCTTCAGTGTATAATAAGGTATTGTAGTTTGGTATTTTCTGCTATATAAGTATCACGTAACAAAATTGAGGCTAAAACAATATTTCAATTGACATTATACAGATAACGTAGATCAATGAAATGTTGAACTTATCTCTAAGACAGTTACAATTTACCACATGACTGGTCTTATAGTGGTGAAACAGAAGCACTGCCTTCTCCATGTCGCTTATACAACTTAGACAGTTACAATTTACCACATGACTGGTCTTATAGTGGTGAAACAGTAGCACTGCCTTCTCCATGTCGCTTACACAGCTTAAATAGTTACAATTTACCACATAACTGGTCTTATAGTGGTGAAACATAATCACTGCCTACTCCATGTCGCTTATACAGCACAGGCAATTACAATTTACCACAGAACTGGTCTTATAGTGGTGAAACATAAGGACTGCCTACTCAATGTCGCTTGTACAGCTCAGGTCTGACATTGAGTATTGACAGATATTGGTCCTGGGTTCGATTCAGGTACAGAAATAAGAAAATACCAACATATCAACACAATCATGATCCTAATTCAATAAAACTAGGGCAAAATAGTTACGAAAGATTTACACGGAGACTCCACAAAGTGTGCATGGGGCTTCCTTCATCAATATTACACCCATTCCTACTATAAACATATGTATAACACTTGTAGTAAACAGTCCTGGCCAGTGGGTACCTGCACAGGAGAGTGAACATGACAGCATAGGAGACTCGCCCCAGAGCCATTCTTTTGAGATGTCCCATGGGAGTACTAGGATCGACGGTGGTGGGGTACGTCCGGTGTCGTATTCGCTGTACACCTAGCCACATGAATAACGCTCTCAGCTTCTGCAGGTCCGTCTTCATTTTAATGGTCAGTTCTCGCACCAATTCGTCTATAGTATTCACCGATTCCGCGTCCACCTGTATATGTAAATAACAGAATGATAGGGACATTTCCTATCACATCACTACTGTTTGTAATTGCACAATAATACCCTGCTGCAAAGAGAAGTTTTTTCCAAGATTGGAACAATTCAAATTACAACCTGTCAGTTCAAAGATGGAAGACCAACGAGATCGGGGCTTTGATTACTGAGCTAATTCATAATGAGTAATTATTGATAACTTAAACAAGTTTGGATTCAGGCATATGATATTATTTCTGTGTCAATGCCGAACTTGTGTTTCCTTTACCCAAAGAGAGCTGACAGTGACAGGACAGATTTGTAGATGGAAGGGATAGGTTTTACATATGAAAGATAAATGTCTATATATATATATAATTTATTTATTTTAGAACAATTGCGAAACAATGTTTAAGCTGATATCAATCACTATTCTTGGCCCGGATGTAAGCGTGCAAGGAGTCTTATTGTGTGAGGAAACCGAACACTCGGTATTACATACCCACACGGTAGGTGACCCCATACCTTTTCACGTCAGTGCCGGAAATCGAACCATAGACGCGAAAGTGAATGACGAGTGCGATACCACTGCGCCACACGACCAGAAATACATTATTGTACAGGAGAGAACTTGAAGGGAATGCAATTCAGAAGGAAAGGACGTTGTGACAGGGTTAGAACAGGGAAGGATAGTCCAGGTAAACACATACCCGTGTTGCTACAGCATCAGCCAATATACAGTCGGACTCGTGGAAGACATCTTTTTTCTTCCTCTTTGGGGGTCTGGCGGGGGGATACATATACATCGTATCTGGTATTACAATCTGTAATTATAGGGGTATGTGATATCTATAATCAGATATGTGGAATATAAACATCAACAGTAATCAAAGACAGTCAGTATTACAATATAACATCAGTTATATAATACAGCAAAAGTATTACAATATAACATCAGTATAAAATACAGCACAAGTATTACAGTATAACATCAGTATATAATACAGCACAAGTATTACAGTATAACATCAGTATATAATACAGCACAAGTATTACAATATAACATCAGTATAAAATACAGCACAAGTATTACAGTATAACATCAGTATATAATACAGCACAAGTATTACAGTATAACATCAGTATATAATACAGCACAAGTATTACAATATAACATTATATAATACAGTATTACAGCACAACAGCACAAGTATTACAATATAACATCAGTTATATAATACAGCACAAGTATTACAATATAACATTGATTATGTAATACAGCACAAGTATTACAGTATAACATCAGTATATAATACAGCACAAGTATTACAATATAACATCAGTATATAATACAGCACAAGTATTACAATATAACATCAGTATATAATACAGCACAAGTATTACAGTATAACATCAGTATATAATACAGCACAAGTATTACAGTATAACATCAGTATATAATACAGCACAAGTATTACAATATAACATCAGTATATAATACAGCACAAGTATTACAGTATAACATTAGTTACAGCACAAGTATTACAGTATAACATCAGTATATAATACAGCACAAGTATTACAGTATAACATCAGTTATATAATACAGCACAAGTATTACAGTATAACATCAGTATATAATACAGCACAAGTATATAATACAGCACAAGTATTACAATATAACATCAGTATAAAATACAGCACAAGTATTACAGTATAACATCAGTATATAATACAGCACAAGTATTACAGTATAACATCAGTTATATAATACAGCACAAGTATTACAATATAACATCAGTTATATAATACAGCACAAGTATTACAATATAACATCAGTTATATAATAAAGCACAAGTATTACAGTATAACATCAGTATATAATACAGCACAAGTATTACAGTATAACATTAGTTACAGCACAAGTATTACAATATAACATCAGTTACAGCACAAGTATTACAATATAACATCAGTTATATAATACAGCAAAAGTATTACAATATAACATCAGTATAAAATACAGCACAAGTATTACAGTATAACATCAGTATATAATACAGCACAAGTATTACAGTATAACATCAGTTACAGCACAAGTATTACAGTATAACATCAGTTATATAATACAGCACAAGTATTACAGTATAACATCAGTATATAATACAGCACAAGTATTACAATGGATCATTATTACAACACAGCACTAGGATTACAATACATATCTATTATTACAATACATCAGTATTAGAATACAACCATTGCATTACAATACCTTATTATTGTTACAAACATATATCAGTTGCCATTGCTAGTGATAATAAAATGTATACATGTATGTTTGTAAGTAAAGGACAAGTGTGTTATATTACAGAATGTACCTCTTCCCTCTCCGGTTCTTTAAGAGACGTATTCTGTCTGCCCTTTTCTATTGCACGTTCCTCCTGTGCCTTCAGCATCCGTCCAGCTATCCTTGTCATATTGACCACGTTCTTAAACTGTTAACAAATCAAAATTATCTGTTTCCAATATGTACAGAAATGTCAGGATTTTGAATTGTTACTAATAATGCTGACTTTCAAATGATCCTTATTATGAAAATATCTACCCTCACGTGTATTACCTGTAAGTAAGTGTTTTTATCTATCATAAAGAAACACGCAAACAAAACCTGTTTGTAATCATAACAAAACAGTTCTCTAGATTAAGTTACTAACGATAACAAGTGGAAAACTTACCCGTTTTTTCATTTGACCCTGTATTGGCATATCGGAGTATCCGTTTGGAAGGTTTTCATCCTGGAAGAGAAAAAGACTCACTTTTCCATCTAAGGTTTAGATCAGCTGTAACTTTCGTCAGACAAATGAAAAAAAACGAGAGCACACGCAGTACAAGATTTCCACAGAAAATAAATCGTCGCCGACATGGTAAAACATGTCAATAGAACATGGCTCTTATCTTGGTACGCTTATACAACAAAGATCATCAGACAAATTTTAAAAATCAGTCTGACATCAATCTCTCTCTAGTGTTTGTTGACATCCTGTGTGTATTTTTACTAAGCTTGCTTTCTTTCTTTAGAAATATTATTTACAGTTCATTATTGTTTCAACATATCAGTTCTGTCAGATTTAAGTCAAAAGATTCCGCTTGTCTGACTAATATGCACCCTGTTATGAAGTATTAGTCTGTCGTACTAATCATATTTCATTCAAGTTAACTGGATATTGCACTACCGAAATCAAATGAATATCCATACCTAGTATAACTGGTTACGATCGTTTTGTTCAAATAAAAAGAAATATTGGACGTTTTATTATCCATATAACTAGTAAACTGTATAGTTAATCACTAATCAGTCTATTTTGTCTGAGATGTGTATTCAACAGAGAATTAACGTCTTTAGTATGTAATTAAGGATATTTAGTTGTCCAACATATCATTCTCGTTTCTATATAAATAAACTGACCCATTCCTCTTCCTCTTCATTGTCCTTTTCTTCTTCCTTTTCATCCTCTTTCTTGTCCTCAGTCGTGAGAGTACTTGCTTTATTCGCTCCGTTTCCCATCCTGTGTTTACTAACTCCGCAACCCATCAACGTCTAACCCAAGGGGCAAGGCGTCAGCCCTTAACATTGATCAGAAAACTTTAATTAGTAATCAGCAAATGATAAATACATAAAAAATATACATCGATATGTCATTAATATTCACGGTATACTTATATATAAGAAACAGGGTACATCTATATATAGCATACAGGGTACATCTGTATATAACATACAGGGTACATCTATATATAGCATACAGGGTACATCTATATATAACATACCGGGTTCATCTATATATAACATAAAGGGTAAATATATATAACATACAGGGTACATATGTATATATAACATACAGGGTAAATATATATAACATACAGGGTACATATGTATATATAACATACAGGGTACATCTATATATAACATACAGGGTACATCTATATATAACATACAGGGTACATCTATATATAACATACAGGGTACCTCTATATATAACATACAGGGTACCTCTGTATATAACATAAAGGGTACATCTATATATGACATAAAGGGTACATCTATATATAACATACAGGGTACCTCTATATATAACATACAGGGTACATCTGTATATAGCTTACAGGGTACATCTATATAACATAAAGGGTACATCTATATATAACATACAGGGTACCTCTGTATATAACATAAAGGGTACATCTATATATAACATACAGGGTACATCTATATATAACATACAGGGTACATCTATATATAACATACAGGGTACATCTATATATAACATACAGGGTACATCTATATATAACATACAGGGTACATCTATATATAACATACAGGGTGCATCTATATAACATACAGGGTACCTCTGTATATAACATAAATTGTACATGTATATATGACATAAAGGGTACAACTATATATAACATACCGGGTACATCTATATATAGCATACATGGTACATCTATATAATATACCGGGTACATCTATATATAACATACCGGGTACATCTATATATAACATACAGGGTACATCTATATAACATACAGGGTGCATCTATATAACATACAGGGTATATATATAACATACATTGTACATGTATATATGACATACCGGGTACATCTATATATAACATACCGGGTACATCTATATATAACATACAGGGTACATCTATATATAACATACCGGGTACATCTATATATAACATACCGGGTACATCTATATATAACATACAGGGTACATCTATATATAACATACAGGGTTTATATATATATATATAACATACAGGGTACATCTATATATAACATACCGGGTACATCTATATATAACATACAGGGTACATCTATATATAACATACAGGGTACATCTATATATAACATACCGGGTACATCTATATATAACATACAGGGTACATCTATATAACATACAGGGTACATCTATATATAACATACAGGGTAAATATATATAACATACCGGGTACATCTATATATAACATACAGGGTACATCTATATAACATACAGGGTACATCTATATATAACATACAGGGTACATCTATATATAACATACAGGGTACATCTATATATAACATACAGGGTACATCTATATAACATACAGGGTACATCTATATATAACATACAGGGTACATCTATATATAACATACAGGGTACATCTATATATAACATACAGGGTACAAATATATATAACATACAGGGTACATCTATATATAACATACAGGGTACATCTATATAACATACGGGGAAGATCTGTAGATGTAATTAACAAGATTCACGGATATATACATGTATTGCTTTTTAAGTCACATCTATAAACATAACAAAGTTGATCAGGCCTTGTTATAAATCCGGTACCTATATAATCATTTATTTTTTATTTAATTCTGTTATCGAAAGTATTCTTTTGATAAAAAATGAAGCATTTGATTAAAGATGAACATGATTTCATGAACCTCGATATTGTCCTACATGAAAGTGCTTAAATATATAGAAGGGACAAAAATGTAATAACCAGTTGAATGACAAATAATTTATCTTTCAAGATCAAATCACCAACATATATTTTCTAAATGAAGTAATTAAATTAAAACCATATTTACATAACCGATAATACAATTAATAGACACTGTAAAAAATGTACGACGTACTTACATGTCTAGATTCCCGTGGATCTAATACGTGCACGGATACGGTGATAAATAAGGTCATATCGTCCGTTTTGTACCTCATAGACCTTCTAAGTACTTATACAAAAAAAAAACTTTAACTAGTAATGAGCGTTGCCATAATAGGTTTGTTTGAGGTAGTGGGAACCGTCGTACCGCGAAGCCAACCCTAACCTTATCTGGAATTTGGTCACAAAGCTCAGCATATCAGTAGTATTGACTTCAATGTGTTTAATAAGACAATACCACTGCCGAAATAATTAACCTTATGTTAGATATATAAGTATGTGTGTTTATGTTGGGGTACTCTTTATAATACTGTAAAGTCCGGATACTTTAACACTGACATGTAGATATGCCTTGTATAATATATTAAAGGTCACTTTTCGAATATTTCTCTTAACAAAATGTGTACTTAAAAACACCACATTTTTAAATCAAAATTATGTACAATGGTATCCAACATAATTGGAAAACATGTACATTAAAAAAAACCTGGGGCAGACAATTCTTTCAGGACCCGTCCCAATCAGTGCACATAGTGATACATATTGCGATATTACATAGCGGCGGTGTTCCAGGAGAGCAGCTCCAGCTATACCGTAAAGGCGAGACTGTGTATTGGCCTGGGAGGGTATTGAATACCAGAGCCTCCTCCTCAAATGTTTTATACGCGCATATCTGTTACCCACTAGAGTGTACAGTACGCGGACACTGCCCTGTCTGAGCGACTTCACACGCGTCCTGTACCTACTGATAATAATAGGTCGAAAAGGTGAAGAATAATTTGTGTCATTACCCAGTTCCTGATGTAGGACACTCATTATCGTTGTTGTCGTCGTCGCTGTCGTTGTTTTAGTCTGTGTCATTACCCAGTGTCCTGATGTAGGACACTCATTATCGTTGTTGTCGTCGTCGTTGTTTTAATTTCTAATTCTAATTGCCAAGCCATATATTTTCTTTACCAGAATGACAATTATACATTCGCATAATTTTTTTTTTCTAGATCTAATATTCATTCTTAATATATTTGGTCCTCCCGCGTAAAGGATTTTCTTCGTTGAAAATCATCAATATGCTTAGGAGATTTGAGATATCTGTCAAACAGTCGATGTCAAACGATCACTTGATAAAGTATCTCTCTACACAGACCAAGCCGTTTTTGACAGTAAGGTTAGAATATTAATATCTCCACCTAGATCAGTCAGTTTTTTTTACACGGGAAGGTTAAAACGTAAATAATTCTACTGAGATCAATAGGGTTTTTTTTTTACGGGAAGGTCAAAAAGTAAATAAATCCACTTAGATCAATCGATTTTTACACGGGAAGGTTAAAAAGTAAAAATATCTCCACCATCTCTAAGATAAGAAGGAGATGCTATTTATTTGTTTATTTAACTAGCATGATGATATCGCTTTTGTATCAGTTACCATATACTAATCGATGATACATTTGCCGTAGATAAATGCGTCAAACAAATAAAAGTTATGTATGTTTAATTACACGTACTGTCTGTATTGTCTTCGGTATATACTCTATCAACAATGATATATATAATGGTAAGTAACCAGTATCTTTGGTATATACTCTATCAACAATGACATATATAATGGTAAGTAACCAGTATCTTCGGTATCAACAATGATATGTATAATGGTAAGTAACTACTATCTTCGGTATATACTCTATCAACAATGATATATATAATGGTAAGTAACTACTATCTTCGGTATCAACAATGATATATATAATGGTAAGTAACCAGTATCTTCGGTATATACTCTATCAACAATGATATATATAATGGTAAGTAACTACTATCTTCGGTATCAACAATGATATATATAATGGTAAGTAACCAGTATCTTCGGTATCAACAATGATATGTATAATGGTAAGTAACTACTGTCTTCGGTATATACTCTATCAACAATGATATATATAATGGTAAGTAACCAGTATCTTTGGTATATACTCTATCAACAATGATATATTTAATGGTAAGTAACCAGTATCTTCGGTATATACTCTATCAACAATGATATATATAATGGTAAGTAACCAGTATCTTCGGTATATACTCTATCAACAATGATATATATAATGGTAAGTAACCAGTATCTTCGGTATCAACAATGATATGTATAATGGTAAGTAACTACTATCTTCGGTATCAACAATGATATATATAATGGTAAGTAACCAGTATCTTCGGTATCAACAATGATATGTATAATGGTAAGTAACCAGTATCTTCGGTATATACTCTATCAACAATGATATATTTAATGGTAAGTAACCAGTATCTTCGGTATCAACAATGATATGTATAATGGTAAGTAACTACTATCTTCGGTATATACTCTATCAACAATGATATATTTAATGGTAAGTAACCAGTATCTTCGGTATCAACAATGATATATATAATGGTAAGTAACCAGTATCTTCGGTATATACTCTATCAACAATGATATATATAATGGTAAGTAACCAGTGTCTATATGTCTGATAACAGGATGTTATTGGTTGTAAACACTGATCACACCTGCTCTTTGTTTCGATCTTATCGATTTTGGCATTGTACATTACACACATTCATGCTTTGATTGTTATGTTAAGTGTTTGATACTTCGTAAATATATTATATATGATTATGTCAGACGGTTGCATCACCTTATATCTACAGTCAATTCTACATGTTTATTTATTTTGTTATCTTATATATGATGAATAAAAGAAATAAGTGATTGATTCATTAATTCATTCAGAAATATTCTATTTCCAGCGATATAAAGTTGGATGTGTTTATACTCGGTATTTATTGTCTTATTTGGAATCGT